GAAATGAATTGGGCAAACGCTTCAGGTTAGCAACATATGCTTCAGGAACAGCTCGTGCTCATCCAATCATAGGTACTTCCGATTAGCTAAAACTAAGTTGAATTAATCTAAAACTTCGTCACCCACTGGTTAAAAGCGGGTATTTATACCCAGATTAGCCAAAATATGTGAAAAGCACAATACCACCTGCTAGCTAAAAGTACTAGCTACTTCGAAGTATATAGGTATATCATGGCTGGCTCGCACTTAGTCGAATCGGTGACATTATTATTCGAGAAAAGTGTTTACTGTTAATAATAAGGGCTTGTCTGGAAGCCACCCCATAAAATTATGCCATAAACCGTTTTGACAAGTCTGCAAATTTTTCCCAAAGTCTGATATCCCATGAAAAAAAGGAGAAAAGAAGTATCTCCAAAGTTGTCTGGATACCAGCTGAATTTTGGAAAAATTATATTCGATTTCCGATTGAACACAAACCTCCATAAAATAGTTGGACCAAATCGGTCCATTTTTTTATGCCATAAAACACCCGATTCTCAAGAAAATTGTGGCATAAATTTTTGAACTTTGGTGGCATCCAGACGCACAAAATTTCGAAAAATGAAATATTTCAATTTTGGCAACTTTTCTTGGAAAAACGGTAATTTTATGCCATTTTTCGTGGCATCCAGACCCGCCCTAATAAAAGAAGAGTTTCAAAACGATATTGTGCTTTCGAGTGAATTTTCGTGTTGTGGCGTGGTTTCTCGTTGGAATTTAAATCGATTTGATTGGCTACGTCAGATGAGCTCAAAATTATTAGCCAATCAAAACCTTCTCAATGAAATTCAACCAATCAGATCGATTGTGGATCGGTTTGGTAGGTGCCACCCCCTCCCCAAATTTAAATCAAATTGACAATATACACTACCTATTTTAATACGTATTTACTTATTTAGTGCTATGAATAATATTAAAATATTAATAACGTTACTCCATCAATGTCGTTCTCGAGCGTGTTCTGTCAACCTGCTGACGTGGCGTGGAATCGTCTTCTGAAGTCACGACTGCGAGAAAAGTATTGTGGCTTCAACTTAAGCACTCCAAGGTGACCAAGAAGAGTTTCAAGGTCCAACCTCCGTCACAGTTGTGTCGTGGATTTTTGCCTCGGTGTGGACAGATCTGTCGGAGTCTATCGTTATGAATGGCTCTAGGGCGTGTCGTTTACATGTTAGTGGAAGGCGAAAGTGTGAACGTCGCTGAGGATGGTGAGTATGTCGAAGTCTTAGCTGAGTTGATTGAGAAGCCTTGATTGACCACCCATCGAAGGACATACCGTATAGTGTATATGTATTGCGACAGGTGATATTTCACAACCGGCCGACACTCGATCTCAAAATTTTGTTAATCCATTGCGTCATACAAATTTGAAGTATATTCAACATATTCACAAGTAAATATCAGTTATTACAAGAAAATTATCAGTTATTACAGGAGTCGCAATAGATTAATCCGTTGCAATACATATACACTATACGGTAATTGACAATAGCGGTGTTGGTTAACTCGTTTACTGGGTAGTATATATTTGGTTTTGTATGTCTAAATGTATATGTCGGCACATGGAGTATTACGGAATACGGTACTACTTATACCTTGCTTTTCGGAAAACGTTCACTCTTGTTGGTGAATGTTGATCCATATACCCGTAGAAGAATCCGACCAAAGCAATCATGACAGCATGGCGAAGAATGGTTACACCAGTAGTGACCCTCGGGACGGCTGCCGCTTCTGTTGTGACAACGTTTGGGGTGGCCACAAGAGACATCCATGCGTCACGACCGTCGGCCTTGCGTCCCACCACCTTGCTGCATCGGTTTGTCGACACGCAGCACGTGGACGTGTTTGAAACCACGTTGGACGCGCCATCGATTGCTGTCAAGACAGTCGCGCGTGCATTCTTTACGTCCCCCGTGTTCCAAGCGGAGCGAGCCTTCCTTCATCTGGTTGGCTTTGGATGTGTCTCGGACGCATCGATTGATCACTCGGACTTCGACGTTGGCGACAAGCTCGTTGTGTTTAGTGTGGTCGAGTGTACGCCGGGTCAACTCTTGTTTTGCTGGAACGACTTCATGGACGTGAACGGCTATACGTGGCTGGCGGTGGCGGACGAAGACGGGAGAATCACGGTGCAGTTTGGCTCGACATTTGACGTGAGCCAGACGTCGTGGCTCGCTCGACCCGTGCTTCGCCACGTTGTCCTGCCGTTGCACCTGTGGTATGCTCAAGTCGTCCTCGCTTCGACGAAGTATACCCTTGAAAGGAAGCCCCCGATCGGGTAGAAATATGGATGATGCTGGCGTCATGTTGCCTAGGTTGACGTCGGTGGCGGATGGAGTCTATTTTCAATCCCTGTCGAGCCTGACGCCAATCAATACTGAGGGGCCAAACGAGCTACGGTACTCATAGTACTAAATGTCGGAGAAAGGCTCCCTCTGTCGCAAGCTTTGCTGGGTACCATGAACGCCCTCAATTGGTTTGAACAGCAAAATTACAGCGCGGATACGACAGTGTAACGGCAGTTGCTGATTTGGTGTTGGTTCCAGTGAGCAATGTAGTTGGTTGTTTGGGGGGTCACAATTTAGCTGGTGGGGGGGACGTTGCCCATTGCCCACTCTCGTACTGCACCATGTAATCAACCAGTGCGTGGGGGGGGATTTTTGAATGGGAGAAGTCATTTTCGCCACATTGCCTTGGCTATATAACCTCCATAGCTCACAGATATGCCACGTATTCAGGTGTGTTTGAGACGAAGGGCGACGGACATGCCAATGTTCGCGGTCCGTGTCCTTCGATTTGTGCTAGGCAAGCGATGTACTAGTGAGTATGCCCAAGTGAAAAGTGCACAAATATGCAAATTCACCTGCTACAGTGATTCATTTTCGTCCAATCAAATGGCTTGGTTGAATATGAGCACGTTCGAGGCATGCTCAATCGCGAATAATCACCAGCCGCCATGTCAAACTACGACAAATGGAATCGCATCCTCAAGGAATTTGACGATGAAGAAGCTGCAGAGGTGTCAAGGTACGTGGATGGAGAAGAAGATGGTTGGTGGTGGAAACGAGACATACAACATAACATGTGTCGTAGAGGCGGCGACGCAGCCAAGGCGACCAAGCCGACGCGAGAGTTCCCGCCATTGTCGCACAAACCCCTGCAGCTCAAACAAGTAGTACTACAATCGCCGCCTCCGCGCCCAAGAACATGCACTCACGCATCTACGATAGGAGATTCAAGAAGCCAGCGCCAAGTTGCATGCGTTGGAGAAGGACTTGGCCGAGTACGACGCGTTGGCGGGTGTGTTGAAGGACTTGCCGACCAAGCTGGACCACGACATCATGGTTCCGTTGGGCAAGCAAGCGTTTGTTCCAGGGAAGATTGTGCATGCGAATGAAATCACTGCGCATCTCGGGGGCGACCTCTTTGCGAAGCAGACGGCCAGTCAGACCGGCGCCATGGTCGAGCGCAAAAAGACAGGTGATTGCCCATATCCATTCGTCCTTCTCTCTAACTTGTCGTCCATAGATCTAGTCAAGCAAATCAAGCACCAGGAAGTGTGGCTCGAGTCACTTCATGCCAAGCTGGGGGACGTGGACAACGTGCTCAACTTGAAAAAGGTACCTAATATATATATACTGTCCTTGTACCCCCAACTGTGGACATTTGGTGCTGATTTTCGCCAAATCTATATATATAACAATATATCGTCCAGGGTGTCACACTAATTAAAGTCACACACGAATTAGACACATTGGTCGAAGAGTGTGGAATTTGATTGGCTAAATTGATTCGAAATGCTGGGTTTTGATTGGTCGTATATCGATTGTCGACCGATGCTCATTCGATTGCACTGTGTTGTCATGCTGATATATTGTCATTAGATCTACGAAGACGCCAACATCCAAGAGATCAAGGAATCCGAAGCCGAAAGCAACGAGGGGATCGTCGACCCGTCCGAGTTTACACAAGCGGACTACGACATGTACTTTGAGATTGAAAACCAAGAAGCTGCCAAGCAAGCCGCGTCGTCGTGGGATTGGTATACTCTCCTCTGCGTTTGCCACGTCATACTCTTACTTATTGTATGGACCAACCAACAGGGACGACGCCATGCGGCGGATGGAAGCGCTGGAACAGCACGAAGAGGGTACGTACGTACACGCAAAGAATCTTTTTGAGCCGACATCATTAGCGTCCGTGGACAAGACGGCGGTGACAACCCACGAAGCCGAGTCGATCAAACAGCAAGGCAACGCCGCGTTTGCTTCCGCCAAGTACCAAGCGGCCGTCGATTTGTACTCCAAAGCCATTGCTTTAACGCCCACCGCTCATGTTCGTACTCATATATGACAAGAAACACAAGATATATTGTCCTTTTACCCAAAATTTGGATATTTATATATTCCATCGATTGTTTGTACTAAATTTTGTATCATCCACTGTCACACTAATACAAGTCACACACTAAATCGATTTTTGAATGGATTGGAGAGAGAATTTGATTATGTTGTGGGTTTTGATTGGTCGATCGATTGTCTGTCGATTGAGCACCCGTACTCGAATGATTTTGAATCGAATGGACAATATATGTCGTCTACTGTAGACATTGTACGGCAACCGATCGGCGGCGCATTTTCATCTGCGAGAGTTTGCCCACGCCCAGAAAGATGCCGATGCCGCCATTGCCATCAACCCGACTTGGGCCAAGGTAAGAAGGGATGATAGCGTTATGGAGATGGAGCCGCCAGCGTTGGCGGGATATATAATATTACTCCAACTACATATATATATATTTACACGTAGGGCCACTTTCGACGGGGCCAGGCGTTGGCAGCACTGGGCCACGTCGACTTGGCGGCGGACGCGTACGAAGAAGCGTCGAAACTCAAACCCTCCGACAAATCTGCGCTCGCCCTGGCCAAACAGCTGCGCCAGCAGGCCGACAACGACAAGAACCTCCGGCGACTGAGTACCACTCATGACGTGGACGCAGCACGACGATCAAGTGTGTTTTCTGGCTCGGTGGTCGAAACCAACGCTGGGCCAACGTTGGCATCCCCACACCAGGTACGCAACACATGTCTAGCGTAAATATGCGACAAGGTAGTGGTGCTTGGCTAAACAAGTGACAGGGCCAAGCACAAGACGGACTGCCGCCGCCGAAGCGCGTGTCCCGGTTCAAAGCCCTGCGACAAGGGCTCGCGTAGAGATTGATCATATCTTTTTGGTACTCGTTTCAACGTGGTGGCGGTGTATTATTACCAGCGTACGAGTACTGTACAGTACCCCCTGTCGGCATACTGTATGCAGGTGCTTCGATGAATAGTTATGCCATAAATAGAACCCCAATTGGTTGTCCTGTGCTATGGATGCCCTATCCCCAATAGTACTAGTAACGCATTAGTAGTACTATCAATATCGTGTCCTACTTAGTAGACCACAAACGTGTAGTAATGTTATGGTACTCCGGCATAAACGTTAACCAGGGCGCGTTTCGGAGCAACATAGTATCATCGATGCAGTCTTGACACAGCTCGTTGCTTAGTGGCACAACATGATGCCCCAGCGTATTCTTTCCCCCCATACACTCCACTTGGTTGTTGTCTATAGTCACATGTACAGTGTACAGTGTACACTGTACAGTACAGTACGTACAGTGAACAGGAAGGGTGGAGATGGGATGTAGGTGTACATCTATCGATCTTTGTAAGTAAAGATCGTTCTAATTCCAATCATTATTCGAAGAGTTGATTTGATTGGCTAGTTAATTCATGTCTTGTGTTTTGATTGGTCGATATATCGATTGTGTGCCGATTTGGTGATTTTGATTGACAGTGAGCACCCAAACACACCAATTTCGAATCGAATACCAGTATTGTGTGTACATATAAGAGTGTTGTCGAGCCGTTTCGGAGCTACTAGGTGAGCAACGCCACGACCACGCTCATGTTGTCCCGACTACCCTTGTGCAAGCACTCGTCCATGAGCAGCTCAGCCACGGCTGTCGGCGACTTGCCGTTGGCCAGCTTGTCGCGCGTAAACTTCTGGATCTGCTCGTTCGACATGACATCATAGATGCCATCGCACCCCAGGACGAGGAACTCGTCGTCGCGGGTCCGAACGTGGATGTTGACGCAGGGCTCGGCAATCACAAAGTGCTCCCATGGCTTCTTGTCCGGGTTGTTGTCTTCGTTGCGCTTGAACCAAAAGTCCCCAAACCCGCGGCTTACGGCCACACCACCGCACACTCTCCCGCGGAACACGGTGCCGCCGGCCGCGAGGATGCGAAGTTTCTCGGCTTCGTGGTCGGGTTTGTGGTCGAGGGACATTTGGATCGGCACGTGGCCCGACTTGTCGCTCAAGATGCACCGAGAGTCCCCTGAGTCGTCATATGTGAGGAGTGACGTCGGGATGACAATGATGACACGTACCGACGTTGGCGGAAATGATGTGGTATTTGGTCACGAGCACCACGAGCCCCGTCGCGCCGACTTCGTCCGCCGTGCCGTCCGTGTGCGCTTCCCGCAGCGCGTCGTCTGTGCGCAAGAAAGCCTCACTCAGCGCACTCACGAGCGCGTACGGGTTCGTTCCATCGTACGCGTTGTAGTCGTCCGTGCTCACGATTTGGTCTACGATTTGCTTGGCCCTGCAGTAGCAGCGTCGTGAGTCCATCATGTTGGACATTCGTTGCAGAGGTAGACGTACGTCTCCTTGGCAATGAAGTCGCCGCCGTGGCCGTCGAAAATCGCCAAGAGCGCGACGTTGGCCAACCCTGGAAGCTTGGTGTCGACCAATTCTGCATCTTCCATGGATTCACGCCATCCCTGCATGCTGCTCGCGCCGATAGTCAGGCCCAAGGACGCTTCCACGTGCGCCTCGGACGTCTTGTCCGTCTGCGGCTCCTTCAGGAAGCGTGACATGCTGTTCCTGTTCTTGTCGAGTGTGTGTGTTCGACGGGTTTGGAAAGTCAGATCACGACGACAAAGACCATCACATGATATATCAATGTATACAAATATTAGGTAAAATAGATCGAAGGTCGACCACGACCACAATACGTTCAATATACTTGTACGAAGAAATCAATGAGATTTGTCTTGAAGATTGTATTGACCATATTACCCTTCCCAATGGATATCCGGATTCCACGCACGACCGACATTATTGATTATCCGGATGTTTGAAAACGACGCCGAGTTTTGCGATCTCACCAAGAATGATGCTTGAACGAAGGGGAGGAAAGGATGCAAGGGTGTTTGTTACCAAGGCCGTCGCGAGACAAAGAGTAGTCGTGCCATGAGGATTATATGCAATGGAGGAGCTACCAAGGACGACCGTCACTACTTGTGCTTCCGGCTGGTGTGCTCGTTCGTTAGTTGGGTTTGTTGCCGCGCCAGACCAAGTAGTTGGTGTCGCCGAGCTTGCGCGGGGACAACTTGTGCTTGATGAAGAAGAACAGACTCAGGAGCATGCAGATTCCCCCCACGACGATGTACGCAAGGCCAAGGAACGCGTTCTGGCCGCCATACCACGACAACGTCGAGATCACGAGCGACTTGCGTCCATCAAAGCTTTGCACGGGAAAGTCTACACCAACCACACACGTCAACCACCACCCATTTTCCTCTCCATGTACATACTGCTCGAGACCAAGAACCGAATGACGGTGCCCTTGGGCAGGTCCGTGTTGATGCGGCCGTACTTTTTCCTAAAGTTGGGCAGCCCCGCCGTGCGCATCCACAGCACGAAGCGCTCCGTCTCGGCGCCGTACGACGTCGTGGGTTTGGTCCACGCGGTCTTGTTGATGATCGGCTCCTGGCCGACTTTGGACGGGATGACCCAGCGGTACTTTTGGTTTTGCCACAGGTACAAGTCGTTGGCGTCGACGGTGTCATAGTTGTTGAACTTGGTGTCCAGATCCGACTTCCACGCCAGATCCGACTGGTCCATGAGGTTGAGCACCGTCACGTTCCCGTACATTTGCGTCTGATTGAGGTATTCACCGGAAGGAAGGGATACGCTGTGCACCCAGAAAATGTCTACCAAGTGTATTGTCGATATAATCGAAATACAGAACAATCGACCAATCAAAACCCAACACACGAATCAAGTGGCCAATCAAATGATTATCCACTCTTCGAAGGTAACTTCGAATTAGTGTGTGACTGAAATTAGTGTGATACAAAGGGCAGGACAAAGCATACATTCTCGATTGATAGATTTGGCAAAGAATCAGCACAAAAATTAACCAAATTTTGGGTAAAAGAAAGACAATATCGTTGTGAGGGATGTCGAGGATGATGGGAATCGGCATGATTGAGGGGACGCGAGAGAGAGAGAATGGATGCGGATGGGGGGTGGGTATACATATATATATATATATATATACATACCATTGAAGAGACTGTTGGCAATGAGTCCGCACGGATTCAAGTTGTACTTTTGACGGACAGCGTTCGGGGCGAGGTCCTCCGTCGAGTTGTACTTGAAGTCGGTGGTCTGGGTCGCGCCGTCGCACGTGGAAATGGGAAGCGACACGGGCTGCCCGCGCAACTGCGCGTCGTTGCGGCTCTGGACGTACCGGCGGTGGTTTTGGTAAAAGTTGTCCAGTTGGTAGTACACCATGATGGGCGCTTTCATGTCGTTTTGGAGCTTGAATGACACGACGCACCCGTGTTCGTTTAGGTTGAACGAGTTGCCGTCGCTGTCGTTCGGAAGCGAGCACGATGAGGTTGGGCTCAGGTTTTGCAGACTCGCGCCCAGCGTGGATAGGCCCGTGGACGCGTCCACGCCGTCGTACTGAATCGCCATTTCCACCACCTGCCATGATCATGAGTGACCCAGATACGAAGACATCGGGAACGTACGTCGAGGTTCTGTTGGTACAGCACCACTCCGATGGGGAGGAAGATGAGCCCGACGAGAAAATACGTCGCGATCACCCACGCCGGGGTCAGGATCGGCTGCCACGCCTTGAGCTTTTGCTGCTTGAAGGGGGTATCTACATGGAAACGTCATCACATCTCTCTGCTCCATCGTCTCACTCTCCATGACAAGACAGACACATGGGTGTACCATCAGGACGTCGGGAGGGCTCGCCGTCTTTGATGGTGCTCATAGCGAAATGCCGACGGAAGAGTACTGCGGCAAGATGGAAAAGTGTTACAAACTGCGGGACCACGCGTATTTTATTTTATTTTGCCCCTTTGTAGGATTGTTTATATGGGAATTTATTGGAAAATTTAAAATGAGATTATATTCCTCGGTACAGTTTATTCACGATAAAAGTTTGATAATAAAACATACTAGTAATAAATAATAACAATATTTTTATTGTTAATAAATGAATTCAATTTAAAATGAATTTAATTTTTTCCATACAGCGATGACAGTGTGCAGGACAAGCGCAGCTGCGCCTGACCTCATAACGACGAGCGGCGTTGTCGTGTTGCATTGCACTGACGGGGAGTACCGGTTGGTTTAGGGATCAGACGACTTGTCATCTTTGCGCGAGGGCAATGTCGTCCGGTCCTAATAACTGGTACTAGTATGTTACATCCTCTCCCTCGGTACAAGGCATCCCAACAACGCCACATGCCGTCGAAAGGTTCCACACGACGGTATGTAGTGTTTGCGTGTGGCTCGACAATCGATGCTACGTCAAATGGACAGTTGATCCTTACGTCGTGTGCCGGTCAAAGGACTTGTTCGAGATGTCCTTCCGCATCCCAGGATGGGCAGAGATGCAAAGTGTAGAATGGGGGAAGCGTTACTGTTAAGCAGCGCCGTAGTGCAAAGGAATAAATCAGGGATTCTGTTGAAATATCCGTATAATTCGTATGGTTCGGTTGGTTTATCCGGCTTTGTCCGGATAATATGATTTACTTCTATTAATAGTACAAAAATCCATGGTTCAAAATTCGATTAATTCGATTGTTGGGTGAAATATAAAATCAACCGTTCAATAATATCGATGGATTTTCGTTGCGGACTTGTTCCACACACCGCCACTGGGAAATCCCAGAGACCCAGTTAATGGAGCTCAGCCCCACACCGAGGGTATAGCGTTCAGAATAGTTCCCTCCATATGGGCCTACTTAATTTTGCCAAAACTCCCAAGGGAAATTAGGGCCCTTAGGTAATTTTTCCGTTATGGATCTCGCATCACTGATGATGGGTACGACGGCGCGGCATGGACTCCGGATTGGTTAGACAGGCTCCAATGGTATTAGCTATAAGAATTTAAAAAGGTAATTTGGTTATAGCGGCAATGCCTTTAAATCGACAATTGCAACGGCAGAATAGTCTTCGTTCTATTTCCCCAAGTAACGCATTGTTAAAGTCTGTAAAGTGTGTGTATGTTAATCCTCTGTGCCACTACTAGATCAACTTCCGGATCCGGGTATACAGATTTCATGTACTACGTAGTACAGTACAGTACTATAAAATGTGACGAGGCAAGCAAAAACTATACAACTTCGAAGTAGAAATTAATACTGACTGTGAAGTCAAGTAGATACAAAAATACTAAAAAATACTAATCATAGTTGATGACGAAAGAGGACACATCTTACTTAGCCCACGTGCACACTCGCTCGTTTGTAGGTGTAAATGCAATGTAGAATGAACAAGCCAGTGTTACTGTATCCCCGGGACGATCGCAAGTCTGATACGCCCATCGTTCGCCCGCCCGTACGACAATATCATGTATGTAGACTGCAAAGGATATATATATATATTGTATGTATCCACGTCATCTCCTCTCTCACTGGTTGTTTTTCCACACAAGATAGCGCGTATCGCCAAGCTTCCGCGGCGACAGTTTATGCTTGGCAAAGAACAGGATGGACAGCACCATGCAGAGCGACCCCACCGTGATGTACGCGACTCCCAGGAACGGATTGCGTCCGCCAAACCATGACGTCGTCGACAGCACCAGCGACTTTTTCCCTTCAAACGCCGACACGACAAAGTCTACACCAAAAAAATATAATTTTTTAGTACCCCCCCCCACCAAAAGGATTGTGTTTCCACCCCCCCCTGTTTGTATTCCCGATCAAAATTGCAACATTTTAACAAAAACGATCAATTTTTCACAAAAACATACAACAAAAATCGCATTTTTTTTGTTTTTCGCAAAAAAAAAGATCAAACATTGCGATATCAAATATCAAATAGAGACGAAGTCGTACTGCTGGACACGAGGAACTCGAGGGTCGACCCTGCCGGCAAGTCCGTGTCGATGCGGCCGTACAGTTTGCGAAAATTGGGCAGCCCCGCCGTGCGCATCCACACGATAAAGTGCTCGCTCTTGACGCCAAAGTTGGCGGTCGTGTCCGACGTCCACGCCGTCTTATTGAGCACGCGCGGCAGCCCCGGACCTTTCGGGATGATGTTGCGGTAGTTGGGGTTCTGCCACAGATACATTTCGTCGGCGCGGCGGTCCGTGTCTTTGATGTTGTCGAACTTGGACGCGATGTCGCTCTTCCACGCGATGCCGCTCTGGCTCATGAGGTTCACCACCTCCAGCGACGTACCCGGGTATGTGTCCGTCTGCGTGTACCGCACGCCCGTCGGCGTGGTCACGCTGTTGATCCAGAAAATGTCTACGATAGTTGAATATATGAATATCAAGAAATATATTAAGATCGAGATGTGAAAAAAAAGATAGGTTTATGCTTTAAAATACAGGTCGACCAAAGAAACTATATCTCTTAAAAAAGAAAACATATCAAACAAGTAAAAGGACGTCTAATGTTCCGAAACAGATTTGCAAAAATATATAATTTAGAAATATCAAGAATATATCGACGTTCTCGAGATTTTATAGATTTATATATCCATGAGCGATATATATTACAGATATATAGAGAGAGTACTAGTAGTAGTACTGTACCATTGAACAAACTGTTGGCGATAAGCCCGCATGGATTCAAATTCCACGTGCCGTTGGTGCCGACGTTGTCGTTCAGGTCGGCGTACTTGACGGTGTTGTCTGGGCTCATTTGCATGGGGTCGCAGTCGGATCGGGTGCTCGGCTGGTTCCCGCGCAGTTGCTCGTCGCTGCGAGATGCGACGTACCGGCGGTGGTTCTGGTAAAAGTTGTCGAGCTGGTAGTACACGAACGTCGGCGCCTTCATGTCCTTGTCCAATTTGAACGACAGCAGGCATCCGTGGCGATTCAGGTCGAACGTGTTCCCGTCGCCATCGCCGAGTGCGCACGCGCCAGGGGTGCCGCCCACGCTTCGGATGGACACGACCGGGTCTTGGGTACTAGAGTCCAACTTGCCGTCGCCGTCGTACTGGATCGAGTATTCCACGACCTGCGACGAATGTGGACCGACATGAGGGTGTTGAAGAAGAACAAGGAAATGCGGGACGTACGTTGTCGGACTCAAGGCGCAAGATGATGCCGATGGGAATGAAAATCAACCCCACGACAAAGAACGTGCCAATGACCCAGTTGGGCGTGAGGATGGGCTGCCATGCCTTGAGCTTTTGCTGCTTGAACGGCGTGTCTGCAAACCACAGGTGACTCGATGGTACAAGGAGGGGGTGCGGATAGGTCGAAGGTACCTTCAGGACGGCGGGACTTCTCATCCATGGTCGTACGTCTGACGAGAGCAGTGATGCAGTGGTGCTGAGGGGTCTCTTGATGCTGAAACGTCGAGTGCTGCGTCCGTGCCTCTTGAGTAAAAATACCTTCTCGTTGATGAAACCAAAACCTATGTCCCTCTTAAGTGCGAACTGGAATCAAAATATATCAATACTTCATATATATTAGTATATATTTGGAATAATACATACTACGTAGTACTTCTATAAGTACTCTTAATATAGTACTAGTACTAGTAGTACAGTTATTAATACTAATACAGTGGTAGTACTCTGGAGTACTAGGTTTACAGGATTACAGTATACTAACTTACCTTACTACGAATTATTAATACGTACTAGTAGTAAGAGAGTAACTTTCTCTAATACTACAAGTATATAAATATATTGGTTTTTTCTCCAACCAATCGTGAATCCAGTGGGTTTGGAATAAAACGCTTGATATACTGTGCATACAGTATCCAAGTTCAAATATATAATAAAATGACTTTGTCAAGATTTAGAAAAATCACTTCAATCGGATACAGTTGTAGCACCAGCATGTATTAATACGAGATACTTCGAAGTATTAATACTATTAATAACAGTCAGATCACCAATACTGTAGTAACAAACAATGATATCCTTGGAATCCTATCAACTACTACTACTACGTAGTACTACTAGCTAGCATACACGAACCACCGTACAAAAACTATGATTGTGTTGGATGCAGTACACAATGTTAATCAAATTACTAGTCGGAATCACTCGAACTGCTGTCGCTGGACGACGACCCACTAGAGGAGCTGCCACTCGACGACGACCCCGAGCTGCTACTGCTACTGCTGCTGCTGCTACTATCGGACGAAGATCCATCCTGGTGGCGCGCGGACGGCGCGGCCATGAGCAGCTTTGGCGCGTTCTTCAGGTGCTCGCGGAGGTCCGTGGTGAGTCCGCCGAGTCCAATGGACGTGAAAAAGTTGATGGCAAATCGCGTGTTGCGCGGGTTGTCCTTGGGAAACAGCCCGGCAAACGTCGTCGCCATAAACTCGTCTAGGAAGCGCAGCTTGAGCTTCTGCACGCCCAAGTGTTCCGACAGCTCCTGGACCAGAATCTTGATGAAGATACGGCTGGACGACGTCGTTTCTTGTTCGTTCAGGCGGATGTACTCAAACACGGTCCACGGCAGCGCATCCGAGAAGAGCAGGTGCGCAAAGAACTTGGCCACGTTGCGCAGCTTGTTGGTTTCTAACCGGTGGATCGTCGCATACTGGTTGGCAAAGCTATCGTCAAACGCGGCCTGGTACTCGCGCTGGACGAGGCAGAACCGCTGCCCGAGCAGGCCATAGTACCGCAAGTACGTCCGCTCTTGGGCGCAGCAGTCGATGAGCATGGCGCAGATCTCGGGCTCTTGGCCTGGACGGATGTTCAACCGCAATAGCTTGTGTGCACATTCTTCGTGGGATACGCTCGACATGATGGTCAGGTAGATTGTGCGGCGCAGGTTGACGAGATCTTGTTCGCTAAAGTCGTGAATCACCACACTCTTGGCATTGGTACTTGGCTGCTCATCCTCGCTGTCCGAGTCGTCGCCGCCGCTCTCGTCGTCGCCGTCGCCGCCGCTCTCGTCGTCGCTGTCTTCGCCAAGCAACTCCTTCTTGATCTCGCCCCACATCTTTTCGTTCTTGGCAAACTCCAAGTCGAACCGGAACACGTCGAGCTTGTCTTCAACGTCCACGTCGTCTTCAAGCCCGAGCTCGTGAGTGATCTGGTCGTTCGAGTCGACCAAATCGAGGGCTTCGTGCACGCTCGGGTAGTCGGCAAAGCCGCCCTTTCGAATCGCAAACAGCCCTTCGATCGTATACTGCACGCGCTTGTCGATCTCGCCTTCGTGGAGGATGCCGCGGAACCGCTCAAAGATGCCGCGCATGCCTTCGGGACACACCTCCGACATCATGGCGCCGCACTCCTTGGTAAAGTTCACCGCCACCTCCACCGAGTCGTCCGTGGGGTTTTTGATGAGCAGCCACAGCACCTGCAGTGCCAGGAGCTCGTGCACCACTTGCTGGTTAACCAAGTGCGCAATGAACCGAACGAGCGCGATGGCCACGACCTTGTCCCCGCGCTTGAACGACCGGCGGAAGCGGTGGACCACGCGCTTGACCAGCAGCTCGCCGTTCTCGGGAAGCTTGGTGTTGATCACGGCAACCAGTGCCGCGTAGATGTGCGTGAACCCTGGCGACGCCAGCTGCGCCTTCATGATCGAACGCACAAGCAGACCGCGACCGCGCACGAGGTTCTCCTGGAACAGCTCCGGGAGGATGTTGGCGATGTTGGACACGTTCACCTTGTTGATGTGCCCGTTGATGCTCTTCCGCAACGCATCCCACGTCGTGCGCTGGTACTCCTGCGACGTCTTGTCCTCAATCTCGGATTTCATCTGCGCCAACTTGAACGGCGGAATGTACACCCCACCAGTGCGTCCGCTGCGGGTATCCTGTGTCAAGATGTTGACGGTCTTGCTTTTGGTCGGTTGGTCTTGGGACGGCGTGTCGTTCTCCTTGTTGTCGCGCTTCCCATCGTTGGGGGAAGCACCTGTCGCTTTCACGACGACGGGAGAGCGCGGCGACCGGCGCCGACGATCATTGTCGTCGTCTCGACGCCGCTCCCCTCGATGATTCCGACCTCTGTCGCTGCTACGATCTCGTGTCCGAGGTCGCTTTGGGGAATTGGATCGGCTGCTCCGTCGACGGCGATCGCGTGGTCTCGACTCGCTTCTCCGCGAAGAAGGCCGATCGCCTGTGCGGCGCTGGGGTGATGGACTCCGTCGACGTCGGGATGGACTGCGGCTAGAACCTGACGACGACGACGACGACGACGATCGCGAATGCTTCCGTGGACCCATGACGTTTCTGCGGTCACCAGCAACTTTGAACCAGTGACAAGGACTCCACTAGGTTCGAAATGTGGAGCTTTACCGGATATATCCGGTTCAAAAACCGGGTATTGGGAGTGTACACCGGGTATTTGGAAGATTTTTCGGGTGTAAAACACCAAGCACACCGGCCATATAAAATCGAAGAACAACAGGTACCATGACGACCGCTGCCCGACCAACGTGGAATGCCGCCGTGGGCCAGAAGAACGAGGGCGGATGGAACTCTGGCGGACAAGTGAGCATGCAATTCTCTGCACGTGACTTGCCGGGCCACAAGAAGCTCAAGACGCGGCAGTTGGGACAAGGCACTGTCGACGAACTCGAGCTGCGCGACCTCAAGAGTGAGTTGACCGACCGCGAACGCAAGTACCTCGAGGAAAAGGGCAAGGTCGTGGATGTAGCACAGCAGAAGATCCTTCGCTTGAAGGAGAACAAGATGCTGCTGCTGAAGGGAGACGAGTGGGAGGATCGGGCGAAGGAGGTCCAGACTCAGTACGACGACGCTGACGACGACACGCGGCAGAACGACAGCGACGACGATTCCGACTCGGACGACGATTCTGAAGACGAGGAAGAGGAACTCATGCGGGAACTGGAGAAGATCAAGAAGGAGCGGGAGGAAGAGCGGCTGAAGAAGGAAGCCGCGGACCGCGAAGCCGAAGAGAGTCTTCGGAAGGAGGAGATCCTGCTGGGCAACCCATTGACGTCCCGCCAAAGCAGCAACCCGTCGGGCAGCGCCACGATCAAGCGCAAGTGGAACGACGACGTCGTGTTCAAGAACCAGACGCGCAACGAACCCGAGACGAAGAAGCGGTTCATCAACGACACGATCCGCAACGACTTCCACCGCCGGTTCCTGAAAACGTACATTCAATAGTATATGCAACACGAATATACTTGATACATACCTCCATCTACAGCATCATCGCGCTCCAACCCTACATTCCATGTACTTGTGCAATTTCGACCATTCTTACCTGGTCGACTACAAGGTAGCAACTAGATTAATAACTTACGGGGCCCGCGCCCGCTGGTCCTTGCGCGATCGGCAGCACAAGATGGACGACTTGCGGGAGGTGGGGGGGGTAACGATGTCACAGAAGGCGAACAACGCGATCGGTTTCAGCGTCCCAACCACTTGCGGCGCTGGAACAGGGGCTCTGTAGATGATAGATGCACGTGGTGGCAAGTCGAGAGGCGGTACAATTGGAGGCAGATGCACTTATACCCCCAAGTGCACAGCGGTGCCAGGGCCAACGGACACCACGCGATTCTGTTCAGTTAACACATGCGTATAGAATGTACGTACGTACTCATGCTCCTATCATCTATCTACCGGTAACTACTAGACCACAATGCTAGCAACGTCAAATGTGACCTGAATAGGACAACACGTCAGACTTGAGAGAGCATCAGTGATACGTGATGACCTAGTAACGTTAGATATCAAACACCTTCCCTCTTAGTTCGATGTTCTTGCAACCATCGACCCAGGTTCTATTTGCTATTATTGTACCTCTTTACCGTTCGCCCACAGCACTTACACGTTTAGCAAACCTCTCTACCCGGCAACCCCCCCATACCCCACACAACACGTACATACCATCGTAATAACATGTCACTACATGTACATATCCATTGCTAAAACACTTTGGTCACGGCATCCCCTTTCCACGTGTGCACTTGGACGGCGTCCCCCGCGGCGTTGATCGTGTCCACCTTGATGTACTCGCCTTCATGTTGGAGGCCGTTCGGGAACTGCAGCAAGCACTGGCCGATGGGGGTGGCGTTCTCGAACCGTCCGGTGTAGTACCCGCCATCTTTGAACAGCCACTTGCCGTCCACGATCGTGTTGTGGACCCAGTTCCCGATCAGCTGGCTCTTGTCCTCCGCGTACTCGTACGTGCCTTTGCCGTGTTTGATGCCTTGGTCGAACGACCCACTAAAGATGTCGCCGTTCTTGTACACGATCGTGCCTTCGCCGTCAATCGCATCACTCGACCACTGCCCGTGGTACGTGTCGCCGGTTGGAAACTGCATCTTGCCCACGCCGTGCTTCTTGCCGTTCTCGTACGCGCCGTCGTACCACGCGATTTCCTTGACCTCGTCGTCGTCGGTCTTCTCGTTCCACGTGTACTTGCCGTGGCCGTGCTTGAGTCTGTCCGAGTTGAACGTGCCTTCGAATGTGTCGCCATTGGCGTACGTGACCTTGACAGGCCCCGGACGCTTGACCCACTTGAACTCCTCGGGGTTGTCGTCCGTGTACTCGACGTTGTACTCCTACACAACTCGTGTGATGTCAGTCATGTGTGACGAGGTTGACTAAGCACGCACCGCGCCGTCGCCCATGTCGTTGACCTCCTGGGGTGTAGATTGGTGGAATAGAGGAACAGGTGAAACTGCCCGAGGTTGAACCGGCGGCAGTTACAGCAGGTACACTTTTGGAACTAGGACGATCTCAAATGTCATAGTGACTTACATAGTAAGACGTAGTATTGCGAAAACACGAACGCAGAATGCACAGATCTCAAATGTCCTCTTGACATTAGTATGCGAGGAACTATTAATAGTAGTGATGAGTAGTATATAGACAGCGGCCTGGCTCATGACTGATGCCGCACGTCCTGCGACTCATCAAAGAGCCCGCAGTCGTCGACCGAAGCCACGGGTGAGTCTTTTTTCAGCTGCAGCCACCGGTGACTCGTCTCTGCCCCACTAGTACTACTAGTACTACTACTAGTACTCGCGTCGTCCTTGGCCGGAACGTTGTTCGTTGGCAGGCGCACCGCTCCCTCATCCTTCTCTTCTACTTCCTTGTCTTCTTTCACATATAGGGTCGCTGGTTCGGTCGTGTCTACCAGTTGTTTGGTCGCGTCGTCGTCGTCGTCGCTTCTTGGAGAAGCATGCTGGTCGTCCATCTGTTGTTGCCCCTCGCCTTCTTGTTCGCCTTCCGCTCTTGCAAAGCGTTCTGTGAGCACACACTGCGTCTCCTCGTCTCCATCATCTTCTTCATCTCCACGGGTTGCTTCGTCGTCGTAATCGAGGAGTGCTGGGACGACATCGATCTGTTCCCCCAACGCCGCCATGCACGTTTGCATGTGCCGGAAGGCGTTGCGAGCCGACGCAAACCTGGCTTTCATCACTAGCACCTCTTCCTTTGCGCCTCTAACACGTCGTCATGACAGATTCACCAGAAGTAGGTAGTACTATATTGATCCCCACCGACTCGTTTCGTGCTCGTGGTCCGACGTGCGATGCACCAAGTCCAGCTGATGCGCCAGTTTCTGGTGGTCGCTTTCAAGTTGCCGCACCTACGCACGACGCCGGCGTCAACATTCGTGATGACGTGATCATGAGACAGGCCTTTAACTTGCCCTTTGGGTCGCGGAGCTGGCTTTGGCCTGGGCTTCTTGCAGTTCTTCCTTCAACACGTCCACGACATGGTTGAGGCTCAACGTAGAGCGCAGCGTGGCGGCCAGTTCATCTTGGCATTGCTTGAGAACTTCCTTGTCCTTTGCCCAACACATCTCGACGTCGACGCACTTGGCTTCTGCCTGCTTGTGTTTTGATTCGAGCGCAGTGTATTCGACCCGCAAGTGGTCGTCCTCGACAGCCCTGGCCCGAGCTTTTGCCACGTCATCCCTTAATTTGTCCATTTCTTGCTCCCGTAGTTGCACAGTTGTGAGCATGTCCTGCAGTTGGGCCATGAGGTCCCGCTCCCGATTGCCCGCGTCAACCAATCGCTGCCGCAATTCCTACGAATCGTGGTTGAGCAACGTCTACACCAACGCTTCGAGACCTGGTTCGCCTTGAGCATCGATTCGGTGCCCACAACCAACTCGTCCCGCTGGGCCGTGGAACTACTCGATGCCGCCACGCACACCTTCTTGGCACTGCCCTTTGAGTCTGGCGTTGGAGGGGCCGACCGCTTGGCTTTCCGAGGTGTTACATGGATGGACTGCGCTTGATCGCTACGGAGGGACCCTAGTATCGATACACGCATACATGCGATGGATGATGGTTGACGTTACGCGAATCGGAATCGGAAAAACGTCGGTTCCACATTCGGGGTGTGCAACGACGGCTTGGTGAAGTAGATCTCGTCGTTCTCGAAGATCTGCCGCTCGAAAGACTTGCCAACCATGTCGCCATTCACGTAGACGCCGTTGGAACTCATATCTGTGAGCCACACGGACTTGTCGCCGATACCTTCTCCTCCGCGCAACGCAATGGTGCATTGCTATCCACACCGATATGACATTACCTGTACGCAAGTTGACATCCGTACCAATGCACTGATCCATGGCTTTTGGATGACGATGTCGGCCTTGGCGCTGATGCGGCCGATGCGGCACACAGGCAGGCGGAGGTCGAATGTCCCGACCGACCCGACCAATTGCCCCCACATTCTTCGCACCAAAATGCAGCACTTTGATTGGTTCACTAATATCCGGACGAAGAATATTTATGAGATGAAAAAATTCATCTACAAATACTCTAGTACTATTATAAATAATTGTAGAATTAAAATTCTACAATTAGAATCTTCAAATATTTCGAAGTATTAAAATACTTCGAAATATTTGAAGATGAATTTTTTCTCGAATGTACAGTACAGTGTACGTTCAGTATACCGGTAAAGATAAGCAAAGTGCGACATGACCTCAAACTGCAATCGGGAAAGCGATATGTCTCTATTTACAATAAATATTCTTATGCTTCGGCTTTACTTTCGATCGGTTGGTGTCATACTACCACCAGGACTGTACGTATTGGAGGTTTGACGGCTCTATATATATATACTAGTACAGTACTATTAAATACATGTACTTCGAAATATTAAATAGTTACAGCCATATATCGTGTGTGGATCACAACAATTTTAATAATCTAAGTCAACCACTTATTTTAATAAGTGGTTGACTTAGATATACATTGATGAGAACGTGTTTTTATCAATGTTCAGATGGACCAATCAATAGCGCTGGATCCAAATTACGTGAACAAGTTGATTGTGGCCATTCTATTCATGTCGCCAGTATGGAGTATGCAGGCTTCCACTCCCCAAATACATATCACGCATCCACGTCTGCCATGGACCCGCCCATGAAGGAAGATCCGTCCCCCGAACCTGCGTCCGTCGAAGAGAACTGCCCTGCCTTCGCGTCGGGATGTCCGTTTGCCTCATCAAAGGAGAAGGCCGCTGCGCCGTCGCTGAGCGAGTGTCCATTCTTCGCGCAGGGCTGCCCGTTCAAGGGTATCCACGATGTCCAGAACCTCTACACGACTTTGGAATCGTCGATCCCTGCGTCCCATCAAAAGGACGGCTCCCCTCGTACGGATATCTCGTGCTTCTTCACATGTTCATCCTGGTATTTCTTGCCTATGTAGTGAAAGCGAATGTGCTGTCCATGTTCAAGTTTATCCACGACGAGAGCGCCAAGAAGAAGGGTGAGATCGGGACCGCGTGTCCCGTCTTTGCCACTACATGCCCCTTCAAGACGATCATGGTGAACGGTCGCGCACTCGTGGACGAGTTGGACGTGCGCACGTGGGCCATCTTTGCCGACGAAGAAGGGGACAAGTGCCCATTGGGTGGTGGACATTTGGCAGACGACCTCAAGTACGGCACGAAACAGTCGCATCGAGAAGCGGAGAACGTGCACTTTGTCCGGGAGTTCGTCAAGGGTCGCATCAACCAAGACATCTACAAGGTCATGGTGGCCATGTTGTACTACATTTACTCGGACCTGGAAGCGCACCTGCGCAGTGCCGCCGCCGCGAACGACCCAATCTTCACACCGCTGCATTTCCCCGTCGAGCTGGAGCGACAGGCGGCGCTGGAACTCGACTTGGCCTACTACTACGGACCGAGTTGGAGGAGCGCCATCCCGCCGCCGACCACCTCGACCCAAGAGTACCTGGCGCGGCTGGCGTACATACGGACATCGTCGCCGTCGCTTCTCGTGGCGCATGCTTATACGCGATACATGGGGGACCTCAGCGGCGGCCAGATCCTCAAGCGAACTGCGATCAAGGCCATGGGCCTCATGGATGGGCATGGCACGTCGTTCTACGACTTTCACAACATCACAACGTCCCACAAAGCGTTCAAAGACATGTACCGCCGCACGCTCAACAGCCTCCCCGCGACCCATGACGTGTCGGAGCAACTAGTACACGAAGCCAACGTGGCATTCCTGCTCAATATGAAAGTGTTTGAAGAACTGGACGTCCTCGGCGGGTTCAACACACCCGACAACCAGCAAGCGGAAGCGCTCGTGCGGCGGCGGAGCCAACAGCAGCAAAGAATGACACGAGAAGGTACCGATGGGACGAAAAAGGGTGGACCCGTGTGCCCGTTTGCCAACATGCTGGGCCAGCCGGGTATCAAGGAACTAGCGATCAAGTACCACGGAGATGATCTGACCGCCGACGAATTCGCGCAACTCAAAGCCCAAGTCGACGCCATTCGAAACGCCCAGTGGCGTCGGAACTACGTCGTGTCCATGGCGGTGGTGGGCGTGGCCATCGGAGTCGGCGTCTGGTTGCGCATGTCGTCGGCGTTGTGGGCGTAGGTGGGACCGCCAGTCGCAGTTTTGATGAAGTAGTACCTAATAATATATCTGCTGGATGTAGAAACTGCAAACATACTCCAGAGTTCTACCGAATCTCCAGAGTACTCTCTTGAACATGTGACACAACACAACATTCGACTAACATGATAATTATAACGGTATATGTAATTAATATTAAAAGTAAGCTTTCTCAGTACTATTAATAGTAGTCGCTACACCTAAAGTCCGAGGACATTTACGATCCCTACTAATTACAACTACTAATTACAAGTACTATTAATAGGAGTACAGTTACATATACTGTCAAGTCACAGTGGAGATTTGAGATATCTATTAACGTTATCACTAACGTTAACGTTACTAAGTACTACTAGTACGTAGTAGTTACTCATACTACAGTAGAGTCACGAGGACATTTGAGATCTGTGCATTGAGTTAGTATTACTTACTATCAGCAAGGTGGTTCGTAGTATTTACAGTTACAGTTAACTGTAAGTGGTACTGTATTAATATTAATATACGTTAAGTGGTACTGTATTAATATTAATATTAATATACGTAATCCTTAAAAGTATTAATACTAGAAGTTGCAAGTATTATTAATAAAAGGATGACTAAGTACTTACTGTTAGTAGTACTAGTAAGTTCAAATATGTTGACGTAACGTTATCCGGAATTCACTCGCGATCGTTCACAGACTGTCAAAAGGAAAATGCTGCGCCAGTCCTTGCTGCGGCCGAGCCGTTGGCGCGTCCATCATCGCGCCCAGCCCTTTTCAAATGTGACCATTGGTGGCATCACCGCGCCTCAGGGCCAGGTCAAGGTATACACGCATGTCCATAGACAACAACATCAACCTGGTACCTAACCACCTTGCAGGACGCGCAACTTGTGCCCAAGGGGTTTGCCAACCTCGACTCGAATGGACAGCCGCACTTTACTCAAGTACTTCGTCGTCTCTCATATATGCATTGACGCCTTGTTGTGCACGTAGGAAACCCTTGCGCATTTGCGGTGGATGCTCCAAAAGGACATCCTGCACCAGGACATGTTTTTGATTGGGTATGCGAAACCTGGTAGTCATACCTCAGTCTAACCGCATCGTCCATAGACCTCCCGGGCCCGCGAGACGGCATCTAGCGCTGCAATTCTGTGAAATCATGCAACGCGAGGTGGAATACGTAGCGATCTCCCAAGACACGACCGAATCCGACTTGAAACAAGTACGAATATCCCTGCCGCCGACGATGTTGTTGTCTCATGCTGTGTAGCGCCGCGAGATCCTTGGTGGCTCGGCCATCTTTGCCGACCAGGCGCCCGTGCGCGCCGCCATCCACGGCCGCATTTTGATCTTGGACGGTACACTCCACCACTCCTTCATGTTCATCCACGCAAAGAAGCCCTTTTATATGACACCATGTCCATCTTAGGATTGGAAAAGGCAGAGCGAAATGTACTACCCACGCTAAACAACTTACTCGAAAATCGGTACTTCCCCACCACCATATATAGAAATATAAAATGCCATGATATTTCACCACCACAATATATTCTTTATGAGAATGAAATATTATTCCACCTCGATATTTTATATAATATTATTTATGACAGTGAAATGGCCTTGGACGACGGACGGTTCCTTATGAACGCATCAAGGTAAGAGCGACGACAAACCAACGGCCTTTTATATATATATATATTTCTGCCTATGATATAGCGTCATATTCAAAGCTATATATATATGGATGACCTTGGGCGTAGCTACGATGCATTGCTGTCGAAAGGGCACACATCTGAGCAACTAACTGCCCAACACCTCGTGCGGGTCGATCCGGCCTTCCGAGTGATCGCGCTGGGGCTTCCCGTGCCTCCGTACCCGGGTCGGACGCTCGACCCTCCCTTACGCTCGCGCTTCCAGGCGCGGCAGGTGCCGCCGCTATCACCCGGCGCGCAACTCGAGATCTGCGGTACACAACCAACCATAATATGTACCCAAGAGTTGGATTTACAGTCTGATTCGCCAACTCCATCGATCGATAATATGATGGTCGTATGTCGTGACTACAGTTGGTCGTCAAGTTCACCCCAGACGAAACACATGGCTAATAATTTTCATAATTTTAACGTCTTTTTACTTTTAAAAAGTAAAATATAGCAACGACAAAAACATTTTTTTTTTCACTGATCTCTTTCGTCTGGGGCCAACGACGAGTTGATTTCCCATGACTTTTGGATTTATCATCTATGTATATATATATATCTACGTGGAGACTCATGGGTTGGTGGCGGCAGCGACAATCCCAGACGGCGATAAGCTCGTGGCGCTCGTGAACGCGATGCACCTGATCGAATCCGGCGGCCACGCCGATCGGATGCCGCACCTGTCGGCGTCCGTGGTCGCGTACTGCACGAAAATGGTGCAGCTGTTCCCGACAGCGGACCTTCCCGCGCTGCTGCGGCGCCGCTTCCCCCTGCATGCATCGTCGGCGTGGAAAGCCCAGGACCAGACGTTTCAGAACGTTCTCCGCACGTTCTTCCCGTCCACATCGGACCAATCGGAGTGCAAGTACCAGTTGACGCGCGTGGACCAATCAACAGCCGAGCTTCGACTTGGTGACGTGGCAGCACGAGGTGTGCCCGTGGCGTGTGGCCCCCGCCCGTTACAGCAACACGCACCCCATTTTGTCGAAACCAAAGCGCATCGACGAGTGTTGGTGGCGATGCTCCAGGTACGATGTATATATATATATATATATATCGTTTGTACTAGTATCAAATAAATAAAATATATATTGATATATAGAAATCTTCAGGACCCCGTGTTGGATTGAAGTATCGTATTATTTGTTGTTGGTATGACTTGTTGGCGGCAACGGAGGTCGTAATAATACTCAACCATGTGTCGGGGGGTATTCGATCTTATGGGGTATTTTTTTATAAAGATACTGGCTTTGAATTACGTGAGGTATTGATATATATATATATATTATATGTTTGTGGTATAATTCTCTAGCAGTCATAAAGACTATACCAGTTAAAATAAATAAAAAACCATCTCGATAAAACCACTTCATTCCTGTTAAATTTTACTTAAAAAATACAAAAGCATGAGATACCATTAAATTTTGATATAGACCGGGGTATATATATATATATTCATGAGTTGATGGAGTAGGACCATGCGGCGGGTACGGACATGTGTGTGGTAGGGCCTAAAGGAAGCGGCAAGTCGGCGCTGGCGCGGCAGTTCTGCGGGTCGTTGGGGTACCAGTCGGACCTGTTTACGCTCTTCCAGGACATGACGGCGCGCGATTTGTTCCAGCGGCGGGCCACCGACCTCCACGGCAACACGACGTGGGAGGACTCGCCCCTGGTACAGACATATATATATATAATATATTGTAATATGTGTGACCTTAGAAATCGTTTCAATGTATATATATGTTTATTGTGCATGATCGTGTCTATATGTCATTGCTATATATGTAAATATGTATGTATGATCCTGTTGAATATATATATATATATATATATATATATATGAACAATCATACTGATCTGTATATTTATTTGAATGTATAAGTATGTTGTATATACAGTAATGTACCTGTATATGATCGTATAGTAAAATATAAAATATATATTATTTATATCTATGATGCCATTGTAACACACAAGTGATCGTGTTAGCCCTAGTCCAGGCGTCCTGTTGTATATACACCCTATAAATGCACACCCCTGCAACCTATATATATATATATTGACTCCTCGATGATATTCGTTAGTTGCGCGCGGCCCGCCATGGCCACGTAGTCATACTAGACGGCGTGCACCGCTTGAGCAGCGACACACTGAGTACGCTGCAGCGGTTGATTCAAGACCGACATGTGGATCTGGCTGACGGCACGACGTTCGCTACAGCCGACGCGCCTGCACCAACTTTAACGGGCACTCCAAGTAGCCGAAACCTGGTTCGTATCCATCCAGCATTTCGCATCGTCGCGCTGGGCGAAGTGGCCAAGCCGTGGCTCACATCCGAGACAATGGCGCTGTTCCCTTTCCATTCGGTGCCCGAGCTCACCCGAGAGGATGCCGACGCGGTCGTGGCGGCGTTGTGTCCGCGCGTACCTCGTTCCGTGTCCACGTAAGTCGATCTCGCGTCCTTTATTGATTATATATATATATATATATATATAGAAAACTCGTCGAGTTGTGGCATCAAGTGCAGCTCCTCCCGTCGTCCGACTTGTCGCTGTCTGTCCGCCAACTGCTTCGTCTGGCGCGGCGGTTGAATGCGTTTCCCGAGTCTGCCGCCGCCGACCTCCGCCTCCTCATTGAAGACACAACCATGATGCACTTCCTTCCGAATGCCCAGCTCATGGCGGATGTGCTGGACGCGTGCCATATTCGCCAGGGGAAATCACCTGACGTTGCTCAAGGTTGGATTTGTCTATCGTTGTTGTTCTGGAGATAGTTGCTGAAATATATAAATATATATATATATGATAGTTGCTGATATATATATATATATATTTATAGACTTGGCGATTGTCGACACATCCGAGACGCTCAGCATTGGCCACGTCACGTACGACATGGTCAAATCGGATTACCCGGCCTTGGAATTGATTCCCCACCCGTTGTACTTCAACATTCCAAAGCATACACTCGTCATGCAACAAATGCTCCAGGTATTTATATCTATCTATCTATATAATATTTATAATATTTATAATATATATAATATATATAATATATATAATACTTATAATATATATAATATATATAATATATATAATATATATAATACTTAATATATATATTATATATATATATTATATCTATATATATGTAGTCGTTGCTACACAAGTTTCTGGGGACGGTAGGACATTGTATCCGGACAGCCGCATTTGCTATTGATTGGTAACCAAGGTGTGGGCAAGAACAAGGTCGTGGACCGTTTATTGCAGCTTATGCATCAAGAGCGCGAATATATCCAACTGCATCGCGATGTACGACGTTTCGCAGCAATGTTTCGTTGTTTTTATGCTGTCATTTTGCGTTTGAATTAGACCACAGTGCAAACGCTGACGATGGTGCCGTCGATGGAGAACGGCCGGATTAGATGGGAGGATAGCCCGCTGGTCCGCGCCGTCAAGTTCGGGCGGACGCTCGTGGTGGACGAAGCCGACAAGGCGCCGCTGGAGGTCGTGTGTGTGCTCAAGGGGCTGATCGAAGACGGCGAGATGCTGCTGGTAACCATTTGGACTAGTATATATGTGGTGCAATATGATATATAGACCGATTATCGTGAAATATATAAGTAAACATGATTTGGACTGTGATGGGCTGGTATTCGCCAACTCGGAATGTTGTTGTTGTGTGTACTGAATGTATGTCATTAACATGTTACACTACTTTTAGTCGAACACTACTACCAATAAGTCGATGAACATGCGAGATGGATTTACGAGGGGATCATTTGATTGGCCATTGGATTTGTGTGGGGCGTTCTGATTGGTCGATCGAGTATATGCGAATTAAGTAAATTGATTGTCAAGCTCATCGAGTCGAATACACAAAGACAATAACCTACTAATATTTCAATGTTGATAATTCGATTTGCACATAAAACGCTCGATTCAATTTGGCGTGGTCGTCGATATATTTTTTCCAATGTCAACTCGTACGGTGTATCGTCTTGACAATATATATATATATTTATTTCTACCTACTTTTAGGGAGACGGACGTCGCATCGTCGACCGCGCCAAAGGCACATTCAACGACGACCATGATGATGATGGTTCAGTGATTTGCATCCACCCGCGGTTCCGGCTGTGGGTGCTGGCCAACCGCCCAGGGTACCCCTTTCTCGGCAACAACTTTTTCAGCGAAGTGGGCGATATCTTTGCTACCCAGTAAGCCCAACTTTTCGATCGTCCTGATTGCATATTGTTTACCGTTCTTTGCTCTATGTATATATATGTGTATGTAGCGTACTAGACAACCCCGACCCCGCGTCCGAGCTCGCCCTTCTCCAGTCGTACGCTCCGAATGTATCGACGGATGTCCTCATGAAATTGTGCGCCGCCTTCTCGGAGCTCCGGTCGATGGTCGAGGATGGCACGATGACGTACCCGTACTCGACGCGCGAGGCGGTGGCCATCGCCAAGCATTTGGAGGCGTTCCCGGAGGACGGAGTGGCCTATACGCTGGAAAATGTACTCGCGTTCGACGGATACGATGCCGCACTGCGCCAGCGTCTGCGCGATGTATTTGGACGGTATGGATATATATATATATAATACCTACCTACCTCTAATATCTTGTTTGTTGAATGTAGCTATAACTTGGATGGATAATACATATACACACAAACTAGTACTACTACTACTACTACACACACACATGTGAAATAGATTTGTCTTGGGTTCGTAGCTATAACGTATATATATATCAGTCCCAATGTGGCTGATTATTCTTTCAAATCAGCTATATATACTTAAGTAGATGTATACAAAACCTTGTATATGGAAGTTTGGGTAGCCATACGTTGGACCGATCATACTATTAATAGTACTGTACAAACGAGACATTATATATATATACTGCGTATGTACAACTCGCATATATATATATATAATAGATCCATTGTGTTTTGGATAGTCGTGATTACTGGATGTTTGATATTTCTATACTTTCTCGAGTCCTTCTATATGAATATCTCGTTTATATGTTGTGTTTTACCAAGCCATCGCTTGGATAAATAACCTACTTGTACGTCGTACATACTCGTGCGGACAATATATTATATATATATATAAATTTTTGTGCTGTCAATAGACACGGGATTCCCTTGGTGTATCGGGAGCCCGTGATGCCAACCATCTCGCTTGCGCCCGTGTCGCCCCTGCCAGCTCCGCACACGCCCACGATGACGTGGCAGATTGACAGACAGTCCGAAGTCGTGCCCATCCCCACATCGTCCACTTTGAAAAGTCGGCGCATTTACATCGAGCCCCCCACGTCGCACACGTTTGCTGTGACACCGGGACGGCTGCACACGTTTTCAGAAGAGTTTTGCTCGTGGAACGTTCCGCTGTGGACCCGGCAGACGGCGGTGGCCCTTGCGGTGCTTCCAGACGCGTCGATTCATGGTACGACTGATCTGCTACTACTAGTAGTACTAGTAATACTAGGACGACTAGTGCTGTTGGACTAGTTTGCTCGTTATATTTCGGTGATGTGATGTTTGGGTGGTGGTGGTGTGGTGGGTGTATAGTGTTGACCAAGCAACCGCTGGGGATTCATTCTTACTTTGGAGCCAACACACACGAACGGTAAATATATTTGCCAAATACAAGTCAAATATATATATTTATACCTACTGATAAATTTTCGTAGTTTGCACTTGTACTCGGAATTGGAAAGCTACAACCAAAGCAAAACCGAAGCGCACTTGATGGCGTGGAAGGAGTCACTGGTGCTGCACGTTCCAGCCGAAGGTGGGTCGAACATGTACTTTTTTTCGCTAGTAGTAGCTACTACTACTAGTAGTTGGACTAGTAGTTTGCCGCCATCTATGCCCACCTGAATTTAGCTCAGAACGAGCCTACTAACTACCGGACCGTAGACTTGCTCATCGTCCTATCCAAGAAACACAAAGTTCTCCAGTCGAGGGTATTACCTCCATTTAAATCCAACAACCACGGCGAAGGAATGTTTCAGTGGACAAAGCAAGGTATGGTCATTGCATAAATATATACTTCGAAGTATATACTAGTTTATTTTTGATATATACAGTACATACTGTACAGTATATATATACAGCACATACTGTACAGTATATATATACAGCATTTCTAATATTCTACTAGTATATTCATTTCTTTTACATGTATATATTCATTTATAATATATATATATATATATATCTAATATATATATACGTTTCTAGTAAATATATATATCTAATATATATATACAATTCTAGTAACTATACATATACATTTCTAATATATATAAAATTATGATATATATATTAGAAATGTATTTTTACCTGACAAATATATCAATTAGAAATGTAATATATACTAGGGGTGGTATACATTTCTAACATATAAGTACGTGTGATGTAGACACTGCACCTATGCAAATGCTCTCGGGGTTGCTCCAAGACCACAACCTCCTTGTCCGATACTTGCAAGGCCAGTCGTGTTTGCAAGTGATCGATGTGCTAAGTATGTCGTCGTACACGCTGCAGTTGCCCGTGCAGTTGCATCACGTGAGTCTCGTGTCGGCGGCAGAGTGGCATGTCCACGACGTTGATGGAGCCATGCACATCCTGCATCTGCCGTCGGCCGAGGGACCTCGTAGGCGGCGCGCCGACCTCCACGCCGTCGCTTGTTGTGATGGGGATACTGCCATTACCTCAAGCGTCCATGCTGGCGGGAATCGCTTCTCACACCCCCTAGCGTACTTGCAAGAAGTCCACGATCTGGACAACCACACCAAGTCGGTGACATCGTCGCATCGGCCGACCCCGGCCGACGTGTCCAAGTCGATGTGGATAAACGAAGACAGGAAAATGGCCACTTTGGCCCCGTCGGAGTGGTTGCTAGAAGTCGTGGACGTGGCCAACCAGCAGGTGCAGCAGATTCCGTTCCGGACGGCGGATGAAGCGCGCGTGGCGGACGCGGCGGTGCTGCCTCCGTCAACCGAAGAGAGGGGACGGACGGTCGTGAGTGTGCAGCGGGACGGCCGCGTCCGGCACTGGCAAGTGGACGAACGAGCGTTGCAAGCCGATTTGGCCACGTGGAAATCCATGTTTGACTACCATGCGCTCCAAGGTAAATAAATAAAAATATATATATATATACAGAGAACCGCGTAGGAACTCGCGCACAGTGGTATTTTGAAATATATGGGGAATTGTATGCGAATGCGCAAGTTGTGATTCCGAGTACGAATTATAATTTTGCAATCAGGTCAATCTGATTAATTTTATTATATCCAATCATACAATTTACAAACTTTTTATGATCATACTATTGGTTAAAATATAAAATATGAAAAAAATACTATTGGTTGACGTCGGAATTTATGAATGCTCCATGGAAAAAAAATAGTGTCGATACCACTGTGCGCGAGTTCCTACTCGGTTCTCTGTATATGTATATATATTTTTTGCACAAGGCGATGTGTTTTCGTTTCGATAGACGATTCATCGGTTTCTAATAATTAAATAAAAAAGTAGAATATAATTGTACAGTATTGAGATACCCTAGATGACTTGCTGACTTGTATATTGTTATCTTAGGCACTTCGCCATATTTAGAGCTACAGTACAACCGTCCAGACGGCACGTCCGAACCCAAAACTGGCACGTCGCTACCCAAACATGGCAAAGAAGACCCGGACAACACGCCGCATGTACAGTACATATATATATATATATATATATATATATATTCCTGGTGTTTTCACAAATATATCTACAGGTCATTGCCAATATTTGCATTATAACTAGAGCATTAACTCGAATGGTATTTGTTATGTGAATAGGTGGGTGGGAATACGTGGGCGGGAGGGTCGGGGGGGTCTGACACGGCGGGACTCGGGGGGCGCGGGGGGCCATACCGACTGGACAAGGGCCATCGGGTGCATCAGATTTCCCAGCTCCAGAAGGACCAAGTGACGAAAGAAGCGCAAGAGAAAGCTAAAGCGATGGCCGACGCCGCCTTGGCCGACCAACTCAGCCAGATCGACATGACCAACCACGAGTTGGCTTCGTACCAGCAGGTGTGTACCATCTACGGTTGTACTTCGAAGTAATAGTTATGTTGTCAACCATCGCATGTATGTGATTGTAAACTAGTATATATATATAAGTAGTACTTATGTTGTCAACCATGGTATATGTAGGTAATCAGAGTGTTTAATACAGTTATATTGGCATGTGAGTTGTGTGAATCAGAATGTTTTTACTACGTTGTATATATATACTGTATGTTGACATCTGAGTGTTGCGTACATATATATATATATATATATATATATATGCCAAGTATCAATATATATATATATATATATATCATAGGTATGCCAAGAAACAGAATACATATATGTTTATATCGTACGTATGTGTGTGTGCACGACATTTGGTGGATGATTTGCATTTGGCTGCAAAGTACCGTTGACCCCAGCCAGATCATCGTCGGGTGGGTTGGTCTGTGGCTTCCTCCATACTATATATATATATATATATATATATATCATTCGTATGATACCAACAATCAGAATGTTAATATATATTGACATGTAAGGGTTGTAGTATGTGGACCGTGTCCACGGAGAAACCACTCAGTTGCGCGACCTGTTTCACAATGTTGAGCAACTTGCAGACGAACGAGGGTGGCTCAAGCATCAGTCGTCTGGTGAATGGGACGACGCCAAGCTCGTGGACGGATTGAGCGGCGACCGCAACGTGTTCAAGAGGCGCGGGCGGGATCCATTTGCATCGTCGGCGTTGCTGCCGTTGCCGAAAAAGTTGCTCTTCGTCATGGACGTGTCGGGGAGCATGTACCGATTTAATTCCCAAGATATATCCTTTTTGCTGCATATTCTGTGGTTGCCTATATATATATATATATATTTGAATCACGGGAATTTTGTCTTTAACCGCCATATGCCGAGTACGGACGACTGGAGCGGATGCTGGAGACGACGCTCATGCTCATGGAGAGCTTGGCAGGATTCGACGCTAAATTTGAGTATGCGATCATGGGGCACAGCGGTGACGCCGCCGCGATTCCGTTTGTCGAGTTTGGGCAGCCCCCCCACACAAAGAAAGATCGGCTCAAGGTATACTAGATCCAGTAGTACGTAGTAGTCCTTGACTACTTAGTACTACTAGTGCAATATGACATGTGTCGACTAGATCTTGCAAAAAATGGTCGCGCACTCGCAGTATTGCAGCAGCGGCGACCACACGGTGGAAGCAATTGAAGAAGGCATCGAACAAGCCAAAACGGCGTCTCATGGCGATGCGATGGTGTTTGTCGTGTCGGACGCCAATCTGAAGCGGTACGGCATCAAACCCCAAGACATGGCGCGGGCTTTGACAAGGGAGCCGACGGTGGCGGCGCACGCCATTTTCATCGCGTCGTTGGCCGACGAAGCGAGGGAGGTCATGACGCACTTGCCGCAGGGCAAAGGCCACGTGTGCCTCAACACGGCCGACTTGCCCCATGTGTTTCAAAAGATCTTCAAGGCGTCCGTGGCCCAGTAATAATAAAAGGGTGTACTTATTCCATTAAAGTCACAGTAATGGAGTAGCTAAGGTGATAAAAACAAGTATATTCAGGAGCTTACAACGACACGTAGCGGGGGGACGGGGGGGAGTCGGCCGATGACTTGGCACGAAATCGGTTGACGAGCATCGTCGCATTCACGGCGGCTTTGAACTTGTTGGCGGACGTGTGCAGCATGGGCAGCTTTTCTTGCACGCCCGACAATTGGTACATCGACACCTACACGACCAATCCAAAATGGGTCAAATATTGAAGGTGCAATATGATATATATAATATATAATGAAGTAGCATACATACAATATATATATATACAAGTAATGAAGTAACAATATATATATTGAAGTAGCAATATGATATATATATATATATTGAAGTAGCAATATGATTTATATATATGTATTGAAGTAGCGATATGATAAATATATAGGAGTAGTTAGCAATATAATAATACATATATAAATATATTGTCAAACTCAGTCGAATGGGCTACATGTATTGGCACTGCCAACACAATGAGTAATAAAATAGAATTTCGCCATAGTCAACACGTACTCGGTGTAGTATATATCAAAGAGCATCCAGATTGCACAACATGGATTCATCATATCCAAACTATATATATTCAAAACTATCAAAATATTGAATTCATTCATACAGTGGAAAAAACACTATATATATCACCATACACACCGTCGACAGTTTGGCAGAAACGACATATACTAACTATTATATATCCCACGCATCATATTCCACCAGCACGCAATCAAAAGCCACCACAAAAGTAATCAAAAGCGTGACGGATTAGACCATATATATATTCAAATATATGTTGTATATATATACTAGTATATATATATGACACCACGCTTACATTTTCGTCGACAATCCACGGATCGCAAAGGAGTTCCGTGGCTGTAGGGCGGTGGGATGGGTCCACTGTCAGTGCCATCGTGATGAACGCCTTGGCATCGTCCGAGATCTCGTCCCAATCGGGCGAGTAAAAAATAAACCGGCCGCGGCAGATGTTGTCGAAGAGGATGCTCTGGTTGTCGTCGTGGAACGGCGTGTACCCGCCAAGGAGGACGTACGTTATCACGCCGATGCTCCAAATGTCGACGGGTTTGCCGTATGTTTGGGCGGTATCTGATCGTCCGATGATCTCTGGGGCGACGTATCTACATACAAAACATAGGCGTATGACGTGGCGAGCGGACAGAGGAGGAGGGGGATCAAGAAGGTCCTACTCGGGAGACCCACACGTCGTGGTCAAGCCATTGACGGCGGCGGCGTCCTTGGCAAACCCAAAGTCGGCAATCTTGATGGACGCATTGTCTTCTTTGTCAAGCATCAAAATGTTCTCGGGCTACACATATGTTTACATGGTCAGAAATTCGTCAATTTGGTGGTGGAGGAGGATGGACGTACCTTCAAGTCGCGATGGACGATGCCCAGGTCGTGGCAGTATGCGATGGCTGTGAGGAGGACCTTGACCAGATTTCGCGCTTCCCTTTCCGTGTAGTACGACTACGGTAATCATGAATGATACATAGTTAGTTTACAATACATTGGAAAGTGCAGCATACGAAGGAACTGTCTAGGGCAACGTACCAATTGTGCGATTCGGTCAAACAACTCGCCGCCTTCGCACAAGTCTGTGACGATGTAGTAGTACTTGGGCTCGGAGAAGAAATCCACCAAATTCAGCACGTTCGCGTGGTTCAATCGGCCCAGGATCGCAACTTCGCTGTGAATGTCGCAGTCGTCCTGGTCCGACAGCGCGTCCTTTTTGAAGACTTTGACAGCGTACGATACCCCCGTCTCTTTGTTGCGCGCTTTCTTGACGATGGCAAAGCTTCCCTCGCCCAGCGTACCTCCAAGAACATACTTGTCGCGAAAGAATAGTTGGGAAGGCGTTGTCGTCACTTGGACTGGAGCCACCACGACGGGTACATCGACCGCATGTACGCTCGTCGTGGCATGCACATCGACTCCGTCGATCGATTCTTCGTCCTTCATCTCGGGACGACTTGGACACAGCGACAAGTTACACCCCATGACGATCCCTTGCGTGTCGACGGCAGCAACGGACGGACGATTGCGACGATCAAACCACGAACAAACTGTGAATGAAAATCGTCCGGATAACCAACCGAAATTGATGCATTTTGGTAAACGCATATCGACTTTGACAGGTATTGAGATAAAGCGTACTTGGAACATAATATATTTCGATACAAACAACAAGTTGTTTTAATCCTGCAATAATTGATTCACACCCAAACTTGTATAATTGTATATTCAATGCCACCAGATAGGTATAATATTTCGACGGTTATTTATGCTTGGAGTAAACTTTGGTCCTTTTTCAATTGAAAACGAAACATAACACAAGGGTTATCATATTTCAAGGAATTCTATTCATACAGGCTTTTTCGCCTTGGAATTCTGCATCGACCATATGGTGCACGTCATCTATAAACTACCAACTTTTCACAAAATTTTCTGACTTCTATTTCATTCATTACTCAAAATTGCAGCAAATTGAGACGTATAATCGACAGATCTCAATGTGGTGAAGAAATTCTACGTCTCAGATTCAAATTTGGTGATGAATTGGTCCAGAAATAGATATTTAACCTATTAATAGTGGTATTTTACATGGGCGCTTGGATATTTGGCCATAGGGGTGGCCGCTCAAATGTATCTTGATTTTTGTATGTGACTCTTATCCGTATTTAATATCCGGAGGCAGTTAGTGATAAAACGCATGAAAATCGGTATTTAACGTATCTGGATTTTGGGTTTAACTACATTAATTGCACGTTAAATAATAAAAACTCCACTCTTCAATTTGGCCAGTTGGAAGTTTTTAGATGAAGTGCACCATACAAAACCCCATATAAATGTGATTTCATTTGGAAAATTACAGGACACAACTCTATTCGGGCACTGTTACATGTATACAGAGAACCCCGGGAAAAGCCGACCCCACCTAAAAGGCCACCCACCTCTATAATATGATGGATTATAAAAACCTGTATTACTTAATAAAACCATTCAATTTAGCCAATCAGAACTCAAAACATTAAAGCTCTCCGATCTTGGTATACAGAAGTGTCACTTCCGGGAGGTGCCGCACTCCGTTCTTCCCAGCAATATGCAAGTTCTTAGCGAATGCTACAGGGAGGGGCCAGTCCATCACCAAATAATCCATGTACGACCATGATAACTATCTAAACTGTGTTGTCCACTGCCAGCGACGACCCGCGAGTCCGCGCTCGGCCGAGCAGCGACGCCGTGGCCTGGACAGTCTTGACGGCGGCTTTGAACTTTCGGCGTGCGTTGAACCGCTTGAGCTCTTGCACGGCCGTCTTGAGCGGCACCGACGACACGACACCCGTGATCCACGGATGCTGCAGCAGCGCATCCGCCGTCGCTCTCTCCGCTGGGTTCAGCACGAGCATGCTCGACACGAACGCCTTGGCTACGGCGCTGACGTCGTCCCAATAGGGCGCGTCAAACTCGAACTGGCCGCGCTGGATGTTGGCAAACAGCTCGGCGTCCGTCGCCCCTTGGAATGGAGGGTATCCGCAGAGAAGGATGTATGTGATCACGCCGGCGCTCCAGATGTCCACGGCGCGGCCGTACTGGGGTTGGGATAGGATTTCTGGCGCAATGTACCTACGTATGTGGACATATTACAGCATGAGCATATGTGACAAGGTTTTGGGTTTGGGACGTACGATGGAGACCCGCATTTCGCCGTCATGGTGCCATGAATGTCGGATTTGGCAAACCCAAAGTCAGCAAGTTTGATGGACGTGTCGTCCGTGAGGCTTTGCAAGAGGATGTTCTCCGGCTATTCGATGGAAACATCATGGGGAGACAATGACGAGGATGGAGAAGCAAGTACCTTGAGGTCGCGGTGTACAATGTTGAGGCTGTGCATGTACTGGATCGCGGTGAGGAGAATTTTCACGAGGTCGCGCGCCTCTTTTTCGCTGTAGAATTCCTTTTCGATGATCCGGTCAAACAGTTCGCCGCCTTCCAGGAGGTCCGTGACGATGTAGAAATGCGTGGACTCGTGGAAGAACGCAAACAGTTCCAGGATGTGAGCGTGCTTCATCTGCTTCAAAATGTTCACTTCCTCGAACAGGTCGCTCACTTCGGAATCGCGCATCTGTGCCTTGACAAACACCTTGACCGCAACACGTTGATGTGTGCGACGATGGGTGCCAACGTACACCTTGGCGGAACCCCCCTCACCGAGAACTTGGTTCGTCGCCAACGCGTACACGTCTTCGAAGCGTTGGGTGGAAAGCACACCGAGCTGTTCACCGACGGCTGGAGACTGCAAGTCGTCCTGCGGTGTGTCTGGGGGCGTCGACAACCCTTCGCCTTCCTGCTTCTCGGCGGGTGCCTGCGACGCAGCTGCATCTTCGTCGGCTTGATCAGCTCCATGACGCCCAAAGCTAGGACACAATCCCTTTGATCTGCCGCAACCCATGCTGTCTTCTTGTGTTGACGGGTCGAAATTGATAATGGTCGTCTCCTTACAGTACGATTCGCGTTCCTGGTATGGACGACGACGTGTACGACCAAAGGATAGAGGACCTGCGCTATGTAATTTATAGTAAACATTGCTTGATGGACAAGAAAGTTTGGATTTATAATACATTTTAATCTTATAAATTGTATGTATAACGAACCCGCCGCGCGCTGCTCCATTGCGACATTCTTGAATTTCCTTCGAGCTTTGTGATGGATCGCATTTGATTGGATGGAAGTATTCAAATGTATCCATATGATTGGCCCATGGAGTTTTATTCCCACCAATCAGTGTAAAGACACAACCCCCCAACACCAACACAACTCTGGCGGCAACACCGCCAGCAACGAAGGATGGGATGTTGTGGCAGCCGCCTCGTGAATGACCCTGACGAATTCGATGACGTCGGTGATATCCCTCACGTACACGCCGAGGACGCGGATGTGGCGGTCAAACTGTCCATTGACGTGGACCAATCGACGAAGGCCGTGTCGATTGTGGGCGCGTCTAGCGACTTTCACCTGAAATACACATTGGGCGACGTGATTGGAAAAGGCGGCTTCTCCGTCGTCCACAAGGCTGTGCTCAAGGCCAGCGGTGTCGAGTACGCCGTGAAATGCATCCAGCGAGATAAGCTCGACGGCGACGACCTGGCGCGCATGGCTGCCGAGGTCAACGCCCTGGCACAGGTAGTACTACTATCTGATTCGTCGGGTCTTGACCTGACGATCTATTATGGACGACGTAGCTCAAGCACCCAAACATCCTGCACCTGTTCGATTTCTTTGCAGAGGAGCATTTTTACTATATTGTGACCGAGTACTTGCAGGGCGGCGAATTGTTCCAGCGGTTGATTGAAAAGGTAGTAACGTTGGTATTCCTGACGTGTAGTGGTCATATATTAATATATGTAGACGTACTACACGCAACAAGACGCCAAGAACGTCGTGCGCACCCTGCTTGAAACCATCCAGTACTGCCACACCAAGGGTATCGCCCACCGCGACTTAAAGGTGTGTCGACATATATAGTATGACTAGTAGCTTCCTATTGTGCATCATTTCCCCGAAATTTATAGTCATTTCGCCAAATAATCCCATATATTGTACCGAATTGAAACTACTACTATTAGTATACAATCAAATATTAGTGTATTTATGGTTTTGCCCAATGCGGAGGCTCAAACGTTTGGATTGGCAGAAATTCGACAGCACGATGATTTGATTGGCTTTGGCAGTTGTCAATTGTTTCGACATTCGTTCGTATATCGACTTGACCATATTGAGCTAATATTTAGCTAATAACTACATGAACTGAACACTGCGGCTGTAGCCTGAAAACATCCTCCTCACGAGCATGTACGACGACGCGTCGGTGAAACTGGCCGACTTTGGGCTCGCGACGCTGCATCACAACAGGAGCAGTATGGTCACGCGGTGCGGTAGTCCACTGTAAGTCGTCGTCCATCCCAACCACAACACCACCATCCCGACCACAACCACCACGACCTCATGGCGCGACGACGAACGTAGGTACCTTGCCCCAGAGATCCTGCATCTCGACACCCCGTACGGAAAAGAGTGCGACATCTGGAGCATCGGAGTGATCACGTACATGTTGCTGTCGGGATGCCCGCCATTCTACGACGAAAACGTCGGTCAGTTGTACAGCAAGATCAAGTGTGGACAGTTCGAATTTGAGCCGGCCTACTACTGGAGCCACGTGTCCCACGATGCCAAACACTTGATCTCGTGCATGCTGCAGGTCCATCCGTCCGATCGGTACTATGACATGTGTAGTTAGTTACTAGCCTCTTTGTATTGTCATTTTACCCCAAATTTGGCCTTTTGTAGATTGTATTCACACTAATTTCAGTCACACACTAATTTGATGTCGGTGATGGTGTCCTGCAACCTGATTGGCTAAATTCTTCTGTCGACGATTCTTGTGTACATTTCTTGGGTTGAGTGTTTCTCCAGTTTAGAATACATACATAAGCATAACATGATATATATATATATATATCCAGGGGCACCGCAGAGCAACTGCTCGCGCATGCATGGTTCCAACGCGATACTCCACAGGTACACATCACGGCTTGGATACGGTCGTACGTATATCCAATATGCCCTGAGGGACTATGTTGGGCTGGTAGGACGCCGACGAAGCTGGAGATGGCAGCAGCACCGCGACGCTGTCGCATGCATTAAACAACTTGCGAACGTTTCACGCTCGAAGCACGTTGAAGCGCGCGATCAACACGGTACGTATATATATATATATGGGATACAGTTCGACTGACTGCGTGTGGCAGGTCCAACTTGCCATAGCGATGCAATCCACTAAGTCGAACAGCTCCACGGACTCTGACCACCCAGATAGAGAGTGGCCACATGGGGGGGACAAGACAACAGAGGACGACGACGATGAGGCTCATGATGAAGGCGACTCGGCGTCCCCCACGGCGTCCGTGTCGTCCAGTGCGTTCGAGTCATATCACTTTACCAGACAAGGCATCGACCCTCGGGCGTTTGGAGCGTGGTCGTCCGAGCTCACGTCAGTGAGCACCACCACAACCAACGACGACGACTGGCTATAGTAATAATGGCTTGCTAAAACGATCTATAAAAGGTACATACTATTTCGAAGTAGCATATTGTCCACAGGCGACGAGAGTGTACCGTACAGCGTCATGAGAGTGTACCGTACAGCGTCATGAGAGTGTACCGTATATTGTTAAGAGAGTGTACCGTATATTGTAATGAGAGTGTACCGTATATTGTAATGAGAGTGTACCGAACATCGTCATGGGACAGCATCACAAGCAAACCACATATGGGTGGTTTAATATATATATATGTATATATTATATACATATATTAATACATAATACTTATTCTAAACTACTACTAACGTTACGTAGTACATGTAGTAGTAGCAATATTTAAAATATAATAATTATTCAATATAATTATTTTGAAATTTGATTTGTTTTTCTAACGTTACATACATTCCCCACTCACAGCAAACAACAACGTGTGGACCACAAGAGTGTATGTTTTATCTTGTGAAATAGATTGCTAGTCCTGTGTGTGTCGTGACCGCAACTTTCGTTCTCATGCACTTTGCACAGTCCCCGCAGTGTCACATTTTTTCTGGACGACGTCGCACGGTTCGTTGGATTTAGTCGACGACACCTGGACACTCGTTTGAACCTACATACAGCCAACAACCTCAGAGTAATTACTTTATTCCCATGTGATATTATGCACATAAGAACAACACCATCGCACCACTTTTATCACGGCTTTGAGCTGTCGTCGGGCATTGAACAATGTGATTTTGGCCACCGTATTGGTTAATGGAACGAACTTGGTCTATATAGAAAAAAAAACACAAAAGTCGACAACATTTCTTAATCCCATCGTGTATATATATATATATATATATATATATAATATATATAATATTTTCATCACGAACGAAGAAGAGTCGACGTACATTGTCCAACAACCCGTCATCGCATATCCACGCATGCGCCACGAGGTCGGATACCGTCGCCCTATCGCAGCCACCCGTTCCTCGTCACATATACACATCTCACCGTTTCAATCGATGATCTCTCAAACCTCGCGGTTGGATCCACCATCAATGCACTTGATATGAACGCCTTCGCATCGCTCGAGATGTGGTCCCAATATGGAGACTCAAACTCCACTTTGCCTCTTTTGATGCGCCGGAACGAGTCGAACCCGCTGCGGCCGTGGAACGGCAGGTACCCGCACAGCAGCACAAACGCGACCACGCCCACGCTCCATACATCGGCAGGCTTGTCATAGTGGCGCTTGTCGTCCCCGCTGTCGTGTACGCATAGTTGGGAGGTCACGACTTCTGGGGCTGCGTACCTACACTGGATTAGGACAAGGCGATTCTGTCCATATCTTTATATATATATATATATATATTGATTTTCACTCCTGTATATATATATATATATTTCTTCGTACTCGATACCCGCCAGGAGCTCGTGCCGGGTTTGCCCAAAGTTTGTCAGTTTGATCGATGGTGGCTCGTCGTTGTTGCCGCCTTGCAACCAAATGTTTTCCGCCTGATACGCATATAGAAAACATTATATTTCAATCCTACTCTGTCTAATCCAATATATATATATATTGTCGACGCACAGTCAAGTTGGAATGCACAACGTCCACGGTGTGACACTTCTGCACGGCATGCAACAACGACGTGACGATGTGCACGGCGTCGATTTCATTGTATCCGTCCTACAAGTCAATGACTACACTCAAACCAATATATATATATATATATGCAAATCAATTTTCTCTCAATATATATATATATATATATTTGTACATTGGCCACAATGCGATTGAACAAGAGGTCGTCGCCACCACTCTCTTGCATGTCTTGTTCGACTACATACACCTCGTCCATTTCGTAAAACACATCGCGGACGGGCGCCACCTCTGGCAGGTGCTGCTTGAGCCTCGTGAGCACCGCCACGTGTGTGCTGGTAGTCGGGCCACCTGTTGTGAACTTTTTTAATGCGAAGACGCGGCCAGTGGCGGTGCACACGCACGTCGACTGATCCACTTCCGAGTATTTCGAGGCAAATGTCGTCCAGAGTTTGAACGACACGGCCGCTTTGACCGACAGCGCCGCCGTCCGGAACCGTTGTTTGGCAGGCGACGGTTTTGGTTCGACTTGGTTAAGAGGAACGATGGTTGGCTAAGAGATACATAGATTAATTCACCGTGTCCAAATAGAATTATAGGAGCCATCAATATATATATATATATATTTATGTATTTATATCGTGTCCAAATGTAATTATATTTATTGATATCATGTTCAAATATAATTATATATATTGATACCGATGTGATCCACGCGTGCTGAAGCAGCTCCTTGGCACTGCGCCTGTCGGCCAATAACAGTTAGCATGACAATATACAATCAATCATATCATATGAACCATATAATAATACTACTAAGTATGCTATTATATGGACGTATGTAGTATACCTGCGTCGAGGGTTGGTCACGAGCATGCTACATATAAAGTCCTTGGCATCTTTCGAAATGTGCTGCCAGTATGGCTCGTCAAACTGCACGTGTCCAGTCTTAATAGCTTGGAACAGTTCGACTTGAGTGGGGCCGTGAAAGGGTAAATAGCCGCCGAGGAGGACAAACACCAGCACCCCCACACTCCAAATATCCACCTCCACGCCATACGGACACCCGCCGCCATCCCCTGCGTCGATATTGTCGAGAACTTCTGGAGCAATGTAGCTATTAATTATACCTAGTGATTAGCATATGGCAATATTGAACAGTATCGCATACTCGTATGAGCCGCACACAAGCGTCACGTCCGCGTCCGCTCGAGTTGCCATCCCAAAGTTGGTCAATTTCACACAAGTGTCGGCAGAGTACACGCCAGCGGTGACGACCACACTCTCGAGCTACAACCACCACAACGTTCAGTATACAGTATAAGGAAGAAAGAATCTCAAGGATTTAAAATATAATATATATATATATTATTGCACCTTGATATTAGGAAAAATACTCCCCAGGATTTAGAATTTAAAAATATATATATATTATAATTTTATCAAGGTACTGTGATATCTAATATATATAATCATAGTACCTTGATATTACGATGGATAATACCCTTGTCGTGGCAATGCTCGACGGCTTTTAATACCCTCGTCATGATCTGTCGGGCCTCTTGTTCGTCCGGACAGCCCTACACACAACAATACTTTCAATATATATATATATATATATATATATATATTCTATATTTCCTTCAACTGATATGAATATATCTACGACTTATACCCTCCACATAAATTAATATCTATATATTTCTTACAAAAAAGAAAAACATTCGACTACAGCGACGACAACATGTCGTATCTACATCGCTTTTACTTCCTACAACTTTGACCTATATATATATATATATAAGTCCAGCCCAAGATAAACACTTACTCTGTCGACCACTCGCTCAAAGAGGTCTGTAGCGTTGGGGACGTGTTCTATGGCGACGCAGTACTCGTAGCAGTCCGAGTAGAACGCATGCAAGTTTGCAATGTTCCCGTGATAGGTCAGCTGCCTGAGGATGTCCACATGCGCATGCAAGTCGACTTCGTCTTCGAATGCCATCATCTCTTTCGAGTAAAATGTCAGGTAAACGTCCACTCCCGACGCTGTCGCATATCGTCGGGCGGTGACGCCGCCGCTGTCGTGCAAACTCATATCCTGGCGATGATGGTCGGCCATGTCATATGCCGCCAGGAAGGCGTCCATTGTCAGCGTTTCGTGTCGCTTGTTGATGGCGACTTCGTCCGGGATAACGATCTGAGACATGGGAAGGGTTGGTGGTGGCATACAAAAGTGGTTTTTTAACGCCAGCGTCGCCTGCACCTGATGGAAGAATCGGCCGACAATTACATGGTACTGTATCTCATGTTTCAAATATGTCATTGTAGTACCGTCATGGCGGCGGCCTTGAACTTGCGTCGCGCGGCTCCACCAGCAGTCTCGATTGCATTCGATGAGTCAGATGTGACGATGTTCTAGTACGAACATGAGTACTGTAGGCAGATTCCATATGCACCGACAACACGCTGATTTTGATATAAATATATATATATACACGTACTTTGGGAACATGTTGTAGCCACGGATGCTGCAACAAGGCATCGAGTGTCGCACTATCGTATACATGGCATTACTATGTTGTAGTAGTAGTGGTAGTAGTAGTAGTAGTAGTAGTAGTAGTAGTAGTAGTAGTAGTAGTAGTAGTAGTAGTAGAAGCAGTAGTAGATTTTGTTGTGTTTATTCTAAACTGGAGCGACATGGCCAAATGGACAGACGAAAGAATCGGCAGAAGGATTTAGCCAATCAGATTTCAGGAAACCATCCTCAAAGTCAAATTAGTGTGTGACTTCAATTAGTGTGATTCCCATCACATACAAATTGATCGATAGATTGGGCGATTCCGCACAAAAGGCGTCCAAATTTTGGGTAAAAGGACAATAATATATACACAGTACCGTTGGGTTGGGTCCACTGTGAGCATGTTCGATATAAAGCGCTTGGCAGGGGCAGACACGTCAGGCATGTCGAGGATGCCCGCTTGAATTGCGTCAAAGAGGTCGGTTTGGGTGGATCCAGAGAACGGAAAGACGCCGCTTAGGAGGACGTAAGCCACCACACCAAGCGACCACACGTCCACTTGGGGTCCGTACGAGGCGAGGGGCGGCTGCAAGTTGGCCAGAATTTCTGGTGCCATATAACTATTTGGACATAAGTTCAAAAACGAGGACAAAATGCTCCAAATTTTAGCCAAAATGGACAAAAATTGACACCAAATCGCATGGCCTTACTCTGGGGATCCGCAGACAGCAGTCATGGCGTTGTCGTCTGAAGTTGACACCGCCAACCCAAAGTTCGATAGCTTCAAGCAAGTTGGATCGTCGGAACATGGCATCCACACGCTCTCTGGCTGCGCAAGAACAACATCATGATGAGATGTGAATAGTTGAACAATTTGTGGTGGGGCAAGGGAAGCCTGCTTGCCTTGAGGTTGCGATGGACCATTCCCAATGCATGGCAGTCTCGCACTGTTTCGAGCAGCACCTTGATCAACGCCTTGGCTTCGTCTTCACTGAATCGACCCTTCGACGATGGATGACTTGGTGAATCGGCAACATCGCCCATCACACGCGTACCTTTCTGAGTAGAACGTCGAACAAGTCGTCGCCTTCTTCGAGATCGCACACCACATAGCACAGTCCGTCCTCAACGTTGATGTCATGTACGTTGATGAGATTCGGGTGGTTGATCGGAAGCAGCGTGTTCAACTCGACGCGCAACGCGTTGAGGCGGTGCACGTCCATCAGCGCCGTGTCGTAGATCTTCATGGCAAACCGACGCGACGTCGCCTTGTGCAGGACCTGGCATACGATCTTAGCCGGCTCCTTCGAGATGACATGCTCCATCGTGTACTCGTCCATGTTGCTTGCTACTGGCCTTGTCTAGTGTTATGGCACGACTGCAGCGAATTTGGATTAGCCAATCACATGTAAAGCGATCTTGCGATTCGAAAAAAGGCACGGAAAGGGCAACCTGCGTCTTGTTGCCTTATTTAATATTATTTAATTCTAATAACTCTATGAAAATTCAAGTGAATAATTATTCATTCAAGTATTGTGCTTTCGAGTGAAATGTCGTGGTTTCTCGTTGGAACTTAAATCGATTTGATTGGCTACTTCAGATGAGCTCAAAATTATTAGCCAATCAAAATCATCTCAATGAAATTCAACAACCAATCAGATCGATTGTGGATCGGTTTGGTCGGCGATTCCCAAATTTGTATCAAATCGACAATACCTACTACTACTTCGAAGTAAATGAATCCCACAACACACTAAGTTCTGCCAATAACTACCGGTATTCTCACGTTGTTTACATTACGCTGCATCAGTTTATAGACAGAGCAAAGCAGCAACGTCGCCGAGCAGAGTGTTCTTCCGTAGTGGAGTTGGTCGTCGCCGCCGCCACGAATGGACACATTGGCATGGTCAAGTACCTCCATGTGCACGGACGGGTTGCTTGCAATGCCGATGTCATGAATGTATGTATATGCGGCGAAGGGAGATTTGGACATTGTGCGGTGGCTGAATGTGGACGGTGCTGTCCGATGTTGCACCAGTGTTGACATGAATCGAGCGGCCGCCGCGGGGTTTGCAGACGTGGTGCAGTACTTGCATCTACACCTTCTGACAATGTGCTCTGTGCAGGCCATGGCGGCAGCGTGGCGGCAGCGGTGCACAATGGACATTTGGTGGTTGTGAAGGTTATACTGACCAACGAGCACATACAGGCCGCCAACAAACATGCTGACAACAGCGTGGTCGAGTATTTGGACACTAATCGATGCAAGAGCGGCAAGCAAATGGTATCGATCCCACTATCTTGACTCGGAACCCCCCGCCAAGCGCAAACGATAACAACAGTTCATGCAGTTACCGAAATGCTGAGTAGAAAATACAGGTGATTTAAGGTATTCATTTATTTTGCTAATCTTACAGGATGCAAGCTTCGCATACACGTGTCCTTTGCTCCACATGAATACGTTTCAAAAGTTGCCATGGCAAGTGTGCATCCCACGAACGACAGCACTCGTGATACTCACCCACCCTTTCATAGAATCGCCGTACAAAACGTCAGCATCCTGTCTCAGCACGCGTTAGAAATCAGGACAATCACACACCAAGTCCACGCTCTATCGGCATTGCCTTGAAGGGGGGGTTGAACGACGAAGAAGGAAATAACTTACAATATATGTTAGTATGCAAACACTGCACGGACATGCCAGTACCGAACGCCAATAGGTAGTGTAGCCCATACTGAACACTATGCTGAATGCCGAATTGCGATCACAGCATGCCAAAGTCGTGGACAAAGTACTTATGCTGACTGCTCTATTCATTTGACAGGTCAAATCACTAAACTACAACTTTACGTTCCATCCCCTATGCAGCAGCGTGATGGTTGTGATCGTCCTGATGCTCGTGTTTGGCTACCACTGCTGCTGCAATGGCTGGTGACGTTGCCGAGTCAAAGCCATCGAGCAACGTGCCAGCGAAAAGGAGGAGGAAGAACACGCACTCGGAATTTTTGCCCACAACGTACGGTAGGACCAAGTTTCGGATGCCACCAAAGCCTAGAACTGTGATGGCGGCGCCCATGAATTGGCTGTATCCCGTGGAAAGTTCCACCAGACAACCCAGCCCGAGAAACGACAACGCCACGGCACCCAACGTGGCTACCGCTTTGACCTTGGACTTTTTGATCTTCTTGAACGTCGCGTCTTCCGAGTCAAAGGTCAGGGCGCCAAGCGACAGCAGAGACACCTGCATGACGCCAGTGGTCGCGTACACAGCACGAGTGGCGTGGTGCGTGGCGTACTGGCCCATGCCAAACAGCGACAGCGCGGCTTGAAGGAACGGCACCATCAATGAGTTCGTGGATACAAACCAGCGACTGGGACGATTCCAAACAATGATGGTCTCAAATTAGGACAATTCCCAGTTTCAAGTCGAACTTTATGGAGTGATTTTGCAAATTACTACTAGTACTGGCTTTGTTTATTGACAGTACAATAGTGAATCCATCCCCCCGTTGCTGCGTGCTGCGGTGAAAGTACTCTTGTGGATACCGAGCATTCTTTAAGCATTGCCAGTCAATGGACAAGTACGCAGCACGCTAGAGGGCTTCGTGCGCAGCCAGTATCTGCGTGTATACTGCGAGCTCCAGTGAAAACATGGGGGTAGTGACATACGAGGGGGTGATATATTGATGAGATTGCTGTAGCCACAACTACTGTATGGGCCTTAAACTTGTGGATGCCGAGCTGGAGGGAGTATTAGCATTGTACATAAGTGTAGACAACATCTAAAACTCCAATCTTGATAGTACTACTATATGTCTTGAATCGCATACTAATCAAGCTCATGAATAAGCCACAGTCAGATTGGTCTACCGTTTCAAGCAGTTAGTACGATCACTTGTCAATGTAGCTATATTTGCGTTGAGGCTGCCATAAAGTAGTGAAGAAGGTTCAACTCAGTAGTGTGCGTTGGAACTTGTTTTGGGTAGTGTAGTGTAATACAAGGCTAGACGCATGCTGCAGTACGAAGTGGGTGTTTGATTGTATGAGGAACAACCGGGACAGACATTTAGTCTGTGATAATCATGCAAGCTATATAACTTATGAGGGGAGCATTCAGCTGAGGGGGGCATAGTACTGTACAGTAGTTGAGGGGGGGCACAGTAGCTGAGGGGAATCATAGTAACTGAGGGGGAGCATAGTAGCTTTGGGGGGGCATAGAAGCTGAGGGTGATTATACTCCGGAGTAGATATGTACGTACTACCCTGGACGATCTCATCACAAGCACGACAAACGACTCCAGCTCATACATCTCAACCCCCACGGTATGTGAAGCGACTTGGTGACCCAAAATCTACTTCATCTCTGGCTACGGTGTGTACTTTTTACCTACATCTTACTGTTATCTATATACAGTCACATACATCAATGGATCCCAGTAGGAACAGTTTTTTGCTGCTAGTAGTACTACGGTAGTACAGTACTGTAGTACTTGTGGAGATGTGCCACGTTAGCTAAATTAGGATTGCTGCTTGATGTGTGGTGCGGCGCCAGCAAAAGGAGTTGTTTGATTTCAAGAAAAAAGAAAATCTACGAAGGGGTTCGAACCAACGACCTTTGCAATTCCAGGCATAACGTAACGTTAGCTTCTCCCAGTGAGCTAATCGTGCCAAGAAGATAGCCAACGAATACTGTATATTAAATAAAGCATTTCATGAGTTCATTTATATGTAAGCGCATTTCAGGTAACTGTAAGACAAATAACTCTGAGCAATAATAATCACATGTGATGCTGAAGTGATCAAAGCACCTTGGGTGTTATTCCATCGCGTAGTACATGCAGGTAGAATGTACTACGCGATGGAACAAGAAGATGGTGTGGATTTCTACAATGTGGCACCATACGTACGGCCCATATCCTCGCTGTGTGTCATATGTAATATCAAAAGTTGTTCATGACGAGCAGTGAATTGTGCAATTTGATCCCGAGAATAGCAGATATAACTTCGATTTGCACTTTTCAAATGTGCAAAAGCGAGGGAGTTGCATAAATGACGGACTTTTATTCAATGCGCAAACATCTCCTATTCATCAATACGTTGATCTAAAGCATCAACAACACGTCCTAATAAATAACTAATGTCTTAACGACAATGTATGGACTATTTTATTTATTTTGTGATTAATGGGATTTGAACTTATTATTCAGAAAATATTTCAGTAAATAGTGGTGAAACTTATCGAGGTAGGCTGGGAAGCAGCGATCCTTTAAAGAAAGCATAAGTCAAAAAATTTAGAAACAGAATTATTTAATCAAGGTCAAAGACTTCCCTATAATTACATTCTGTAACGAAACGTGATCCTAAATCACGGCACGGATTATCTAAAACACTGAATAGCCAGAACGAGCAAGTGTACTACTACTTAATGTTAGTAGTTAATATCCAACAGCACTGACGCACACTGCGGGTCGATTTGCGGGGCTGATACTTCATTGGGGAGGCTGAGAAGTTCTTCGACACAAATCACAAGCCGGCTATTCGTGGTCGGGGCCTCCGAGTGTAGTGGCGAGAGGTGGTATGTTGGTGTTGCTGCAAATGTCATTTCGCACGATGTAAATAACGAATTTAGGTGATCCAATGACCCCCTTAGCACGTGCTCTTGCTTGTCGATTTGGTTCAGTGTCTCGACGTACATGCCAGGAAGAAACGTCGGCAGTGTGATCTGTCCCCCGTACACAGTTAACACGACACGGTACACCGACCGACTGGAAGCGTCTACATCGCGAAGAGCCCACAAATTGCACACACCGTTTAAAGTGCCCGACTGCACCGTGATGTTGGTGGCGACGGCATCCCACGTCGGAACGTCGTTGACCGCGTGCACTGTCACAGGCAACGTCGACGTGAAAGTTACGACTTGGCCATCCCGACACGAGAGCTGTAGCTTGTCTTGGCCGGCAAAGTTCACGCCAGGCTGGTAAAAAAGGCGGCGGGGGGTATCGACTACCACTTGCTTGACGCGATTGGTAAAGTTGGTTGGGCCATCCACACTCAGCCAGCCGGTTTTCACAGAGGCCACGACAGTAATACCCCTCGGACGAGGAGGATACTTGATGAAAGATGTTAGCTCTGTCACCAAGTCTTCTTGAACACCAACATGGACCGCTGAAAACGATGCACACTCGGCAGGATGATTGATCGATGGCGGGATGGGCACGTTCAACGTGACCTGCACAGGCGGATCAACCGATCCGAACGGTCGCGCCGTCACAACGACAAGGTCCGATAGGAGATCGAACGCTGTCGCAGAACTATTACTAGGGGTGTACATGAGTTGGCGGAGGAAGGTAGGTGCCTCGTGAACCGAACACACGACGACATTCCTCGGTGGATTGCTGGATGCAAAGAACACGGTACCAACTGTGGCCATCGCGGTCACTTCTACGGCGTACGAGTTGGAGAACAAGGCAAACTGGGCGTCCGCTGCCGACAGCGTCACAGGCGGAAGCAGCGTCGCAGACGAAGTCGAAAGAGGAGCAGCGACATGAAAAGTAGAGTTGGACCAGTGCAGTTCCAAAGCATCTGCCACGGGCTCGACGAGAATCCACACGTGTCGGAAAGCCTCGGCGGTTACATTGACGACCCCGCACGTTGTGACTTGAACCGCGTGGATGGCCAGGGTGTCCACTCCCGCAAAATTCGGGTTTGGTAGGTAGACGACGTCGTCCATATCCACGCCAAGCACTGGGTCGTTGCTGAGCAACTCTAGGTGCGGAGTATTAAACATATCTACATTTGGCGGTCTAGGACGGACCAAGTCGTTTTGCCTGGTCAGCATACGTCCCGACTGTGTGATCATCGTCACCACCAGCGTCGACGAACATGTGGAGGGCGTTGTGGGTGAAAAATGCACGTGAAACAGCCCTGTGAACATCAGCGCGGTGTCTTCCACAGCTCGTAAGTTGGACGACAAACGGGAAGCGGATGTGATTTCTGGAGGCAGCAGCACCAGCGGCACGTCCACTTGGACTTGGAGGGGGGCTGTGGCGGCGGTAGCATCATCATGTAGCCCCCCGATTCGAAACGTGAGCGTGTCGGGGCCATAGTAAGACGCCGGTGCCGTGTAGTAAAGACCATGGAGCGCCTGTTGCAAGTTGTCTAGCGAACTCGCGACAACCAGCGTCCGCCCGCCGGCCAGCGACCCGACCGTGTACTGTACGCGGTACCGCGTAGCCAGGTCCCACGCCAACCACCCAATCTTGGCGTCCAAGTGCATTTCGATCGGCTGATCCTGTCCATTCGTTGTCGCAATTATGTCGACCAGTTCTAATTCAATGCGGAGCGACTGCCCTGGACGGACGGTCAACGATGGAGCCGCCTGGCTTCCGGCATAGCGTAACCGAGGCGCTGCCTTGATTGGCCCGGCGGTTTTGTGATTTTGCCTTGACTGTACGACCTCTGCGTGGTCTAGTGGCCATTGGAATGCCCTGGGGGGTTGGTTGTCCACGGATAATGTGAGTGCCATCACGTCGACGGCGGCAATCAATTCGGCTGTGACAGTGTACAAACCACGCGGCTCCACCCGAAATCGCATGGGACTGGCACTCGTGTACGTAATTGTCCAGGACGTTGTCGATATATGCGACACAGTGTCCATTACTACCCCATCGTCCACACGATGCTGCCATCCCCACTGTGCATCCGTGGTATTCACCAGTACATCGTTTGCAAACAATTGATAAGCACGGGTCGGCGGTGGCACCACAAGCTGAATCTCTGGGCGCACGACAACGATCCCGTTGTTGCCTTCTGGCGGAACGTTCGCCGAATGATCCACTAGAGCATTCGACCACAGCATCACGGCTGGCACGTCATCGTTCAGAAACTGCAACGTGCACACGTTTGCATTATGGCACCCTGCTACAATCGGAAGCGCCCACGCTTGAACACTAGCGGATGGGGTCACAGTGGACGCCACCGTCCCGTTGCTCTTCCACCATTGGACCACGGGCACCGATACAATAGACGTACCAGCGATGCCCTGCACTTGAAAGGTCGACGTAAACGCATCCCCACCATCCATTTTGACCACAACAATAGCGTTGGACCCGGTGGCAGCACGAAGCGCCGATTGGATGGCTGCTGGGGATGCTGCGATTGACAAGACGACCGTGCGTGGGTTGCTGCCGACGCTCCACACCATGGTTCCGTCGGTGGGTTGTACGAGCGCTGCTGGAATGGGAAAGCGAAACGAGACGGTTTGAAATTGCGGAAAAGTTGCCGCCCCACATCGGGTTTGCACTTCGGTAAATGTTGCTTCGAGTCCAGCGCCTGTGACAGGGTACGCGATGGGTTGTGTGACACAGGATACGTCGTGAAACAGCACTGTGAGCTGGAACTGACCAGTCACGGGACCGGTTCCTCGAGGCACGATCGATAGCACGACCACCGACGGATTGAAAATTGGGGAGATTGTAACTTGGGTCACTTGACGTTGCCGCGATTTGAACGCTGTCGCAGGAGTCGGAAACGCCGTCAGTTGAACTAACGTAGTGGACGCCACCTGCGACGTGGCGACGGTCGCGTCTGGCACGACCACTGGCAACCCATCTACTGAAAATGGATGGCGAGCAGCGGAGTTGGACGGGGTGGTTGGGACAGAGGACGATCGACGAGTAGGTACGATCACTTGGAGAGACGCTGTCACATGTAAAGACTGTAGAGCCCCGCACCCGCCATTGTCCGACACTGTGATGGTCAATGTGGCGTTGGTCGATCCGCACACCAAGACCTGTGGAAGGAACTGGTTGAGAGAGGCCATGGTGCCTTCAAGCTGCACTTTGGACGCCACAACGTGGGTCGAGTTGGTGAAACTCGAGGCGATACCTCCTCCACTAGTTAAATCCGTCGCTGAGATGACGTTTCCTACGGCTTGGATGCGATCTACGGTCATCAACGCAGCGCCAAGAGGTACGATGTCTAGGACGACAGACATGTGGCCCCCGTACGGCACTTCATTCACGTCGATGTCGTCGATGGAGATGGACGATGGAAGGCGTGCGCAAGAATAATTGGAATTCTTGACGGCAACTAGAAGCATCGAAGGGGGAATATGTGACAGCGTGGGTGGGTCGTTCACCGCCGCGACGGACACGGGCCAATCCAGTGTGACGGCTTGCAGATCCAACGTCATGGGTTGCGACGCGGTGCACGATGATGTCAACAACGGCGTGGACAACAAGGTAGATTCAATCGCTTCAACATGGATGGACTCGAGAGACTGTTGAGGATGCATGCACAATGTCGACGTGCCATCACCCGCCCAATCAAAGTTGTAGTCGCGGTCCGGCTGGTAGGTCAAGCTGCGTAGGATGTCGTTGGCCGTGGCGAGCGTGGCTTCAAATAACAACATGGGTGTACGAACTGGGGTCGTGGAAGGAGTGGGTTGGGTGGTGGCATCTGAGGAATGCCCGTCGCAGACAACGTTCGCGCGATTCCAAGAGGTGAAAGGAACACTGAACGAACCATGCTTGGCCGCGATCTATGTGAATGTTGGACGAATCATAGTGGTGGACAAACAATTCATTTCAAGCTGGGTGTACCAGGACGTAGACGGGTGTGGTCGGGGCGTCGGTGGACGAGAGTTGGATGCTAGACACGGCGATCGATGTATCTTCTGTACATGACAAGTACGCATCAACCTAATATGGGCGTTGGTGACCGCTGTTCATATTGGATGGATGGACTTGCCGGAAGGAACTCTAGATGCGAGGAGGTTGCATGATGCATCCATGTTGCAAGGAACACCACAAGCGCCAGTCCTCGCATGGCCCGAGGCGGCCGCAGCATTGCGAGAGGTATCGTTTGGTGGAAGAACGTGAGATCCCCTAACCCGCTTTGAATTAATTCGTACTTATTTACTGTTAATTAAGCTTAGCTCGTTAGTTCGCTGTTGTAGCATTCTATTAATAGTACTATTAATAGTAGTATGGTGCACGTCATCTATAAACTACCAATTTTTCACAATTTTTTCTGACTTCTATTTCATATTCATTGCTCAAAATTTCAGCAAATTGAGACGTAGAATCGATAGATCTCAATGTGGTGAAGAAATTCTACGTCTCAGATTCAAATTTGGTGATGAATTGGTCCAGAAATAGAACCTAGTTATATTACATGGGCGCAGATAGATTGTAATTGTGAAAATCTTACGTCATATTAATACATACTTCGAAGTATATGTACTACTTCCTCCGTTCCGTTTTACTTGCATTAGTATCTTAGTTGAAGTGGTACAGTCGGTGGACATAATTGTGCACTGATACAGCATACAACGGTACCCCGTTTAGCACTTTCGTGTTATATAGGGTTACTGTAACGTTAACCTTAAATACCAAGGACTTACGAAACATCCGGTTAATTAACCAAATACCTCAGACGGCCTACAATGTACTCAGACCAGTTTTTTATTCGATCTGAGAGTGGAATTGAAAAAAGTGTTGCTCTGTTTTAACAGCAAAATGCTGTCTGAAAATGTAAATATCTGCGATTCATGATTCTGGTAACATTAGTCTGCGAAGCCGAAAAAACGTCTTCGCACATCTGAGTGTGCCTCAGATCACACGAAAATCGGATCTGAAATTTGTCAGAGTACTGATCTGAGGAAATCGCAGATTCGAAATCTGAGGCAATTTTGGTAGTCTGTCCTCCACTGTCCCTGAGCGTAATGTGGGGTACAAGTAAATACGTTGCAGTACAAACGTTAACTTTATTTGTATAGCCGTCGTCTTTGATTGACAGGTACCGGTCACGGTGGTTCCCTAGGGCTGTTTCGATTGGTTGTCGAGTTGCAGAACGGGATTTCATTGGTCCTTTCGATGTTCTTCTTCAGTGGAATCTCTACTGGTACGGCACGCATTGGCAAGAGTCCACCTGATTGTGGAGGTGCGAACGAATGTATGTTGCTGGTGTTCAGTTTGCAACAGCTCAAGTGTATGAGTGGACTCACACTGGGCTGGTTATGCTATTCAATTTCGTCGGGGGAAAATTCAGTACAGTACTGTACAGGAGCGGCGGACAGTGATATTTCACACGCACCAATGTATGCTGACATTGCACAGGCACAAAGCCGTCAAACACACCACAACTACGTCACAATCAACACCCTCGATCCATACAACTACATAACGCTAAGGATGACATTTCGATTGTTGCAAGATCCTTTGGATGATGCCCTGTAAGGCCATGTAAACTCTTGCATTTATGGTGAAAGTCCGTGAGTTACATATGTGTCGGTAGAGTCCATGACAAGATCTGGCCATCGGACCGTTCGTGCTCGTTCGACAGCTGCTTGGCGGGATGAACTTGTTTACTGTTACCTCCTTCAGATGTCCTTTACAGTTTTCCAGTATAATCACAATTCAAAGCATATTTTGACCAATGAAAACGCGATCGATCATGGTATCCATGTTGGCATGTTGTTGCAAACCACGTAATAATGGCTGCCAACATTCAGTTTATCACTGCCACCAATGCCCCATTTACATTTTCTAGACATTCTCCACACTTCCATCGAGGATCATCCATGCGGCTTGTCTTGTTGCCGCTTCTCGTTGCTTGCGGCGTGGTCACTTCGTCCAACCACGTCCAGGTCGGCATCCGATCCGGCAGCGTCAAGTCTCGAGGGGTCAACATTGGCGGCTGGCTCCTCGCGGAGCACTGGATGACGAGCGACGAGGGGATTTGGAAAGGTCTTTCGAGCAACGTGACTGGTCGAGGCGAGTATGCTGTCATGCAAGCGCTGGGACCATTCGAAGGCAACGCTCGCTTCACGCGGCACTGGGATACATTCATCACAGAGTACGACATCCAGCAAATTGCCACCGCCGCCAAGTTGAATACGATCCGTGTGCCTGTGGGGTACTGGATCCAAGGATGCGGCCACTTGACGGGTGCCATGTGGGAGCACGTAAGTCTATCCATCCACCAAAACTCTCCTGAATGCTCATGCGACATTGTAGTGCAACATGTACCCCAAAGGCGGGCTACCGTACTTGGACAAGTTGATTCGGCGCTGGGCCAAGACGCACAACGTGGCCGTCCTCGTGAGCGTACATGGTGCCCCGGGGTCCCAGAACGGTCAAGACCACAGCGGCGCCATCTCGAAGGACATTTTGTGGGCCAAATACAATGAAAACGTTCGTGCGACGAGGGAGTTTGCAGCGTTTTTGGTCGATCGGTACCAGAATGACGTGGCGTTCCTTGGGCTCGGGCTCCTCAACGAACCAGTCTCTGGGCTTAGTAACTCTACTGGGTTTAGTAACTCTACTTCTGGCGTGGACTTTGCCACCATGAGCCAGTACTACCGCGACGTGGTGGCGGACGTACGAGCAATTTCTCCCGACGTGTTGGTCGTGACCGCTCCGTTTCTGAACAAGCAATACCCCGGCAAAGAAGAAGCATGCATGCAAGCATTTGAACCAGCGATTACCCACGCGTGGCACGACTGGCATCCGTATGTGATATGGGGGAACGAAAACCAGTCCGAGCTCGAGTTGGTTGAGGCTGCCGCGGCGCGAACCCGTGACGTGGCAGCGTGGACAGGCAGACCGTTGTTGCTGGGCGAATGGAGCTTGGTCACTCCTGGCGGGTCGTTTAGTGACACGTCGTCGCCGCTGTTTCAACAGTTTGTGTCCGCGTACTTGGGCATGTTGAAGCAAGCCAAGGGCGGGTGGACGTACTGGTCATGGAAGAAAAGCAGCGACGACGTCTCGACAACCCAAGTCGAGAAATGGTCGCTGCGGTCCATGTTGAACTTGGCCAATTCGGTACGTTGAACAGGAAATTGCACCCTTGTTGTAGTTACACATATGTGACGTGGTATTGTGCTTTTCAGTCAAATATGTGCCTATTTTGATGAAATCGCCAATTAATCGAGATAAGGAGTATGATTGGATAAGAATGAAGGTTGCAATATGATTGGCTAAACATATTGTTAAAGATACTACTGTAGTTTTATACTATGAAATTTCGAAGGTCATGCGATCCGGCGGTTGGTTGAATCAATAAGTTAAACACAACAATATCATATGGTGTATATACTGTAGTTGCAGCAATCCGAAGACGAAGACAACGCGATGGTCATTGTCGGCAGCGACGGCCATGGCCTCCACCTCCCCAACACACCAGTTCAACAAGGATGGCGGCTCGTGAACGACCCCGCATGGATCGCTGAAAACGGCCGCGCCCCAGAATGGTGGTACAATCGACGCACCCACACGCTGCGCACCAACCGCTTCGACGGACTCTGTCTCACAGCCGTCGATTCCAATCAAGGCATGCAAGCACAAGGAGTGATCTGTGACGGCGCTGCGTCGAGTCAGCAGAAATGGCAGCTGGAGGACCACCGTATTATCCTCGCTGGGCACACCCCGAGGCGGTGTCTGTCGTCCAACTTGACGCTGTCGTCGTGCGTCCACCGCGACCGAACGCAGTACTTCAACATGGGGCGTGAGAAGGTGGTGATTCGGCGGACTCGGACTCCCCATGTCGCATTTGGGGCCACGGAAGGCGGCGCGGCGTTGTCACAGCCGAATCAGACGCAGTGGATCGTCGACCACGGCCAACGTACGGTCCAGAACGTGGCGACGGGCAAGTGCTTGGACGCGTTTCAGAACCGCGACGCCGGCGTCGTACACGTGCTTGACTGTAGCGACGATAACGTCAACCAAAAGTGGGTGTATGACGTGGCCACGTCACAGCTACGCCACGCGACCCATGTCGGCTATTGCCTCGACGTGTGCGCGACGAATGGCACGGCGCGCGGGGGGTTCCACTTGATTGAATGTCACGACACGACTGACGCGAACATTGCCAACCAGCAATTCGACCTCGTTGGAGCTGCGGTCCAGTCGGCCGTGCCGCAACAGACAGTGTCATGAGGGCTCGCTCGGGGTTGGTTGTTATAATAATGAATGTCCAAATATTGTACAGTCAACGATGGATTTTATTTAAGCCACACTTTGAATCGAAGTAAATTCTAAATTTTCAACTCTGATTGGCCTATACACTTCGAAATTCGATTTCAATAACAAATCAAACCAACTGATTTGTAATAGCTGAACCTGATTGGCCACAATACATGGATACACATATAAACTTCGGTGTGGCTTAAAATCCATCGTTGACTGTAGGCGTGAATAAAAAATGGAGCAAGTATTTACATTTGTTAATACGGAATGGTGGTATGTATCGAGTCAGTTTCGATTCCGAAACAGTCATACATGTATTAACAGTGGTGTGGTTAGGTTAACAGGCAAATGTAGGTTTTGAGAGGATGTGTCGACGAGGAGTAGCAAAAACTAATTATGAATGCTGAAACATACGTTATGCATTTTGATAATATATCAATTTCTATAGCACATTTGTGGTACTGTTTTCAATTGTACTACTATCTCAGAAGATACTAGTATTAAGTTTTGGACATGGATATCCAATTAAGGTTATTTTAATTGAGCTGCGTTCTATATACATACAAAATTTCAGTAAAAAATTCGATTTGCAGGTTACAAAACACACACTCCTCGGTGCTGTAAGTTGCTTTCTTTATGCGCCATCTACTATAGAATTATTGCGTGAAAGGTTTGGAGAAAAGATGTATCCATCCGGATGTATTGCGGATTTGGTACAGAATTCCAGATTCCGTCGAATCGAATCTCGCGTAGACCTCTTTGACTGTGTGTGTGGCCAAATGACTTGTATTTTCGAAAATCATGGTGTGATATTGCAAATAATTATGGATTGAAAAACGTGTTCAGTGAATTTGAAAGTGACCAAGTGATTAACTAAAGTAACAAGTGATTTTGTAAAGGAGGTAGTGCTTTTGAAAAACACACACAATTTGACCAAATACTGTAAGTATCGACAATTAATTCTTTAAATCTGAATCAAAAATTACTACCGTCAGAATACTGAACCTATCACAAACCTCGCCCATTGGCTAATCTATTAATGCTAGACTATGATTGGCTACTCCGAAACCAGCCTTTCATTGAACAGGCTTTCAGAGAACGTGCCGCACTGCAACTCACCACATCCACGCGGAGTCCGCGTGGATCATGATTTTGTCCATCCCTGACGCGGACACCACCATGGACGTTGCAGACACTCCCGCGAGGAACATGATATCCTCACAAAGCCCACGTCTAAGCCTACAACCAGAGGTGGGGGCGCACTCAACCTCGTTGTACGAGCTCACACTTAAGGCTACTATCAAAGAGACTGTCGGTCAGCGCAACGCGTCCGCTGTGAGGTTGGCAACGTTCGACTGTGGTGGTGCGTCGTGGGTGTGAAATGAATCGTTTTCTCGTCCTTCCCATAGAGGACTGCCAAACAAGACTTCTTCGTCCCTAGGAAGTAGTAGTCGTAGAGGAATAACATCATAGTGTTGGGGCTGGCATGTCGGTGGAAGACAACAGACTGAATGGCGCTCATGGGTATCGACGAGCGGCCAGAAGGGCGTGCGTTTGGAAATGGCGCGCAAATGCGAAACTGCCAAACTCACAGATAAACCGATCAAACGCCGTCGCGTGGTTTATGAAAGTACTAGTAGGGATTTGAACCTCTCTGTATCCGGAAATTCCCAGCAAATCGACAATAATAAAAACAACAGTGACCTGTTTTGATGAGGGAATTATTCTTGATCGGGTAATGGTCACCTGTCTCAGCCAAGCTGGTTACGAGGACACCCTGGTCAGTAGTCTCGCGCACATGTAGAGAGGTTCACGGTGTTGGTGTGTTGTGGTGACTGGTAGTACAGCTGTGCTATAGTTGGACGTTGCCAAGGTTAGCTTGACGCTGGCAGTGTGTTGCCACGAGGTGCATTGATGGTGGAGTGCTTGCGCACGACGAGCGCTTGGTGACTATGAGTGAGCCGGCCTGGTTGTTTCTGAGCGAATCGATGATGGCGTCGAGTTTTGGTTGACCATGAGCGAGCTTGATCTGTATCACGCTCGTTCGAACGATGTACAGTTCCGGCCCTATTGTGCGTGAGCTCACCCCACTTCGGTGACAGCAAATAGTGTCGCCTATATCCACATCGGGGCGACCGACAAGACCCCACATGCCCATGTTGCCTGACGCTCCGCTAGGGAGGTCCGATCCATCGTGGTCGATCCCAACACCTCTACTCACAATGTCAAAAAGTCCGCATTGATTCGTGCTTCTATTGCCGCCACCCCCTCGGCATCTTGCCACGTAGGACGACATTATGCACAACAAGGCTAAGTAGGATCTGATACTTTTTGACTTGCTGGTTGTATCGAAGGACGGCCACGACGTGATTTGAACACCACGATCCGTCCTAATCCGGATAGTTCTCCGGACGTTCAATTCAGTTTCATGTAGGGGCATTGCAATTGTTCGACGGTGCCCATGCGTGTGAACGAGGACGCGGGTGCCGCCGCCACCGACGAAGAGCGGGACGGACTCATTCGAAGTGCCGCCTTATCAAGTAAAAGTACTGGCGGTGCTCCATCTAATGCGCCAAAGTACGAAGAGGTCAAGACGCCCAATGAAGGTGTCGTGAACACAGCGGCAGCATCCACACAAGGTGCACCAACTACAACATCCACGCCGCCCGCCTCGATGGAGGAACAGCAAGCACGTGAAGAGACTGCTGAAGACTTGATGCACGGTATCAACTCTTTCTGGGCGGTCGTCGCGCCCGTGTGTGTGACCATGGTCATCGCAAGGTAGGGCAAGCAGGTCCGTATTCGTGCCTGTTCCTCATCTCTGTCGCCGTAGCATTGCCGTCGTAAACTGCCGCAGTCGCGCCCTCGAGCGTTCCATGGGGTCGTACCTTGTATACAACGAAGTCAAAGGAGCGGAAGCAGGTGAAGTCGTCGGGCACTCCCTTGTCAACGCCCTCGTCGTGATTGGATTTGTGACCGGCCTGACGTTTTTCATGGCGCTTCTGTACAAATTCAACTGCATGCGGGTACTTCCGCTCCGACCCCTTCTCTCCCTTGTCTCATGCGTCTTCCTATAGATCTTGGTCGGGTACATCATGTTCTCGTCGTCTGCGATCCTCGGGTTCGTCGGCGGCCAGCTCGTCGACACCGTCAACGACACGTACCTCCAGTGGCCCATCGACTGGGTGTCGTTTTTATTTATCATGGTCAACTTTTCGTTTGTGGGCGTCGTGGCGATATTTTATCAAAAGGTACATCTCGTTGCGATACATTAGGTGAATCTCGACGCTCGAATTGGAACACGTTTTGTTAACTTTGTGTTCGTTTTCATGTTCGTTTTGTGAAATCAAGGCACGTTTTGTTAATTCCGTCTCTAGGGGATTCCAAAATCGGCCCAAAATACCTACTTGGTGTTTGTGTCAGTCATCTTGGCATGGCAGTTCTCCATGTGGCCCGAGTGGACGACGTGGATATTCTGCATCATGTTTGCATGTTACGATCTGTGCGCTGTCTTGACCCCTTGCGGGCCCCTCAAAGTGCTGGTACGGAGGACTCCCATCATCGAAGGGCGTAGCTAAGCTCACTGTAATATATCATCTCCGTTAGATCAACCTCATTCAAGAAAAGCAAGCGCCAATGCCTGGGTTGCTCTACGAAGCCGAAGTTCGCGACGGTGTGGGCAACCCGGCGGCGGTGGCGGCGGTGCAGACCCCCGCGGCGCCAGCAGCTCCTCGTCCAACTACCACCACGACATCGTCATCTTCATCGGCGTCGCGACTGCCGCCACGAGAACCACGGACCGCCGCCTCGTCGGCATTGGTACCGCCGTCGCTTCAAGGACACGATTTGACGGACGTACGTGTATCCATTCTTGTGTGTAAACTGATGGTGTACTGTGGATATTGTATATGTTGTCATGGTAAATGACGATATGGTATATTGTGGTTTCGAGTGAAATTTCGTTGTGGCGTGATTTCTCGTTGGAATTTAAATCGATTTGATTGGCTACTTTAGATGAGGTTATTAACCAATCAAAACCTTCTCAATGAAATTCAACCAATCAGATCGATTGTGGATCGGTTGCACTCCCTCCCCAAATTTGTATCAAATCGACAATACACAATGTTGTTTTTTATTACTTTGACTCTTTTATATAACATATCGACTCTTTTATATAACATATCTATCTCGAATATATTGTGGATTCGATCGAATCAAACAAATCTCGCCGCCAAATCAAATCTTGAATCGACGCTATTGGCTAATCCAATTTTGAGTGGATTTGATTGGCTCTTAAAGTAAATTCAACCAATCAGAACTCCAGCATGATTCAATATTGATCAGACAAACCATGCGAATTTTGAAAGTTTATATAGCGAATTCACAATAACGATATGTTTAACTGTTTGCATGGATGTAGCCGTTCCCAGTGCACGAGTGCGACACCGAAGACGACTTCAAAGCGCTCTTGTTTGCGTTCTACGCGCGGTATTCGCCGGACGACACGTGGAAAGTGGACCAGGTGGCCGCGCGGTTCTTCCCCAACCAGTCGCGCATGTGGCCATCCTTGTTCCACAAGTACATGGTGTGCTCGTGCGGGACGGAAAGCGTTCCCTGCTCGGTGCAGTCGGCCATCGATGTCCGAAACGAACAGCGCCGCGAACGCGCCGCGGAAGACGACGAAGACAAAACGATCAAGCTCGGCCTGGGCGATTTCATCTTTTACAGTGTCTTGGTCGGTCGCGCGGCGATCTACGACTTTAGCACGTGTGTCATTTGCTTTCTCTGCATCTTGATGGTAAGTTCGATAATGGTTCGAGGCTCGGTGATTGACGGGGTGGTGTGTAGGGACTGGGGGGTACGTTGTTCTTGCTGTCGGTGCTGCACAAGGCTCTGCCGGCGCTCCCGATCTCGATCTTCATGGCCACGGCGTTCTACTTTTGGGCGCGGTATACGCTGACGGACTTCTTCAACTTTGTCACGGTCCTGCCGTCGGCCTTGTAATAAGATCACATTGTCATGTTGATGAATCGCCTGTGCCACTCCCTGTCGTGTGCGCACGTTGGTGGAAGGCGATAGGTAGCTGGAATGATACTATTATGTATGTAGTAATAGAAACGGGAGTGAGACTGTACGGACGTCACGAGACACATTGAAAGGCGGCGTCATAACAAGCCCTGGACACATGCCTGGAGCGCATCAAGTCGACGGACGCGGCACAATTGCATGGATGTCGATGGGAAGTTTGAAAGTGCGCCGCACGTGTCGAATGTTGAAGTGTACAGATTCCACCAATCAGAGACGGAAACGATTCTGATTGGCGGATTCGATTTTTCTTCGCAACGACGTCGCTGCATCATCGGAAGGAAGGAGACTTCCCCCATGTTTGAAACCTCATTGTTTCGGACGTCTTGTAAAGGGTCGCCACTCGCCAAAAACGTTCGTGTCTCGTCATGACCACAATTTATTCCTTCTACAGACGTGGCCATAGCATAATGGAATTCATCGCATAGTTCTACCTGTGACAATGACGACAGTATTGTACAGATCGACACTTGGACGGGTCCGAGGAATCAGCCAGTCTCATTGACGCTGGAGTGATTTGTTTGAAACACGTTCGAAACACTTCGTTTTTGTGTGGTGCTTATCCGCTGAAAGCAATATTTTAATGCGATGCCGATCAGTTTGTATAGAAACGTCTTAGGATTTGTAAACAACGATCATATTAATTTACCAGACGTTCGACGGATGTGGCGCAGTGTCAAATTTTCCTCGTCAGTACCAAAGCACCATGATGATGATGACTCGCTCTGCGCCCCGGCTGCACGCCATCTCGCGCGCTTCCACGGTAAGGCCACACCTACCCGTATATACATGTCGACTCATGCATGTCTGTAGCGCGCGGCGTCCTCGACCCCGTTGTCCGTGCTCGACCCCAAGGGTAGCGCCACGATCGACGAAACCTACGCCAAGATCGAACACAACCTCGGCGTGATCCGCAAGACGTTGAACCGTCCGTTGACGTTGGCCGAAAAGATCATTTACGGCCACTTGGACGATCCCCACTTCGGCACCCCCAAGCGCGGCGAAACCTACTTGAAGCTCCGCCCCGATCGCGTCGCCATGCAAGACGCCACGGCCCAAATGGCCGTGCTCCAATTCATCTCGTCCGGGCTCCCCAAGACCGCGGTCCCCACGACCATCCATTGCGATCACTTGATCACGGCGGAAAAGGGCTCCACCATCGACTTGACCACGGCCAAGGACGTGAACAAGGAAGTGTATGATTTCTTGGAATCGGCTGGTGCCAAGTTTGGCATGGGCTTCTGGCGCCCTGGTTCCGGTATCATCCATCAAATCGTGTTGGAAAACTACGCGTTCCCGGGTGGTTTGATGATCGGTACGGACTCGCACACCGTGAACGCGGGTGGGCTCGGCATGTGCGCCATCGGTGTCGGCGGAGCTGACGCCGTGGACGTGATGGCCGGCATGGCGTGGGAATTGAAGGCGCCCAAGGTGATTGGTGTCAAGTTGACGGGTAAGTTGAGCGGCTGGACGTCGCCCAAGGACGTGATCTTGAAGGTGGCCGACATCTTGACCGTCAAGGGCGGCACCGGCGCCATCGTCGAATACTTTGGCCCGGGTGTGGAATCCATCTCGTGCACGGGCATGGGCACGATCTGTAACATGGGTGCTGAAATCGGCGCCACGTGCTCGACGTTCCCGTACACGGACCGCATGGCCGACTACCTCAAGGCGACCACGCGTCCAGGCTTGGCATCCGCCGCCGACTCGTTCAAGGCCAACTTGATCGCCGACGAAGGCGCGCACTACGACCAAATCATCGAAATCAACTTGGACACGTTGAAGCCGCTGCTCAACGGCCCGTTCACCCCCGACCGAGCCAACTTGGCCGGCAAGGGCATCAAGGAAGCCAGCGAAGCGAACGGGTGGCCCACGGAACTCTCGGCTGGGTTGATTGGATCGTGCACGAACTCATCGTACGAAGACTTGAGCCGATGCGCCGACCTGACGCAGCAAGCCAAGAAGGCGGGGCTGCAGTTCAAGGTGCCGTACTATGTGACCCCTGGCTCGGAGCAAGTGCGCGCGACGATCGCCCGCGACGGCATCCTCGACACATTCCTCGAAGCCGGCGGCACCGTGCTCGCCAACGCGTGCGGGCCATGCATTGGGCAGTGGAACCGCACGGACGTTCCGTACGGAGTCAAGAACTCCATTGTGACATCGTACAACCGCAACTTTGCCAAGCGCGCCGACGGCAACCCTGAAACGCACGCGTTTGTGACATCGCCAGAGCTTGTGACAGTGTGCTCGATCGCAGGCACGACCACATTCGACCCGGAAACCGACAGCCTCACCACGCCCGACGGCAAGCCGTTCAAGTTTGAAGCCCCCCACGGCAAGGAACTTCCCCCCCGTGGGTTTGACGCGGGTGAAGACACGTTCCAGCCGTCTCCGGAAGACGGATCGAAGCTGTCGGTCAAGGTGAGCCCGACGTCGGACCGCCTGGCGCTGCTCGAGCCGTTTGACGAGTGGAACGGCAAGGACTTCGAGAACCTCCCCGTGTTGATCAAGACCAAGGGCAAGTGCACGACGGACCACATCTCGATGGCTGGCCCGTGGCTCAAGTACCGAGGCCATCTGGACAACATCTCGAACAACATGTTGATTGGCGCTGTGAACGCCGAAAACGACGAGACCAACCATGTGGTGCACCAGTTGAAGGGCACGTACGACAAGGTGCCGGCGGTCGCGCGCCAGTACAAGGCGGAAGGCATCTCGTGGGTCGTGGTGGGCGACGAAAACTATGGCGAAGGGTCGTCCCGCGAGCATGCGGCGCTGGAACCTCGTCACTTGGGCGGCCGCGCGGTGATTGTCAAGTCGTTTGCACGCATCCATGAAACCAACTTGAAGAAGCAGGGCATGCTGCCGCTAACGTTTGCCAACCCGAGCGACTACGACAAGATTAGCGGCAATGACAAGGTGTCTATCGTGGGCTTGGACAAGTTTGCCCCCGGGAAACCCTTGACGCTCAAGGTTACGCCCCCGTCTGGCAAGACGTTTGACGTTGTGGTTAACCACACGTTCAACGACGAACAGATTGAATGGTTCAAGAACGGCAGTGCGCTGAACTTGATGAAGAAGTTGAACGCGTAAGAAGAAGAGAGACTTGTGTGTCGTACACGAACCACGAAATATATAGCGTTGAGTTCGTTCTTGGGATGATGGTACTTAACTGTTACATAGTATTATAGTATTGTGCATTTCCCCCAAATATTTGGACTTTTGTGAATCATTTCGCAAAAATCAGGTACTATTGTAGGGGCCTTTTGGGATGATACCAGGGTCATACAAACTGTAATATAAATATGAAATATTGGGAATTTGACAGTTTCGAAAATAGTCGTAGAAAGATCATGATCTTATCTTCAATTTGAACTGATTTACGCCAATTTTATGCAAAAAATGCATAAAATATTGACAAAATGGCACGGACTTTCAGCTATTGAGGCTCCTTTGGTCATTAAAACGTTCACTTACTTCACTCAAATAAGACGTATACTTCCTCTGTCCCATATTACTCGTCGATTTGACTTCTCATCGACCCCAAAAATCCATTTCTTTACCAAACTCGATGAAATTTATCATTTAATAGAGAGCATAAAAATCCATAGGGACCAACCATTGGCTGTCAAGAGCGAAACTTGAATTTTGGCGCCCAAAATCAACTTCTCATTT